AATTTTTTTTAAATGTCAGAAGATAGCCGAGGTAACGAAACCCTATCTTAAAAATTATTAATTGTTGCCTCAGACGGCTGGGTGAGATTCGAATCAGATTCCAAATTATAAAGTTCACTATAATACTTTGCAAATTGATAGCTAATTTTAGTTGGATGAAATATTTTTTGTCCCTGGTCATCTATTAAATATGCTATCTTTGATTGGGCATTCACATGCCAGAGTTTGGATGCCAGAAGAGTTGAGGCCTTATTGCCTTTTAAATAAAACATTTTCTTAAGGCGTCTCACCATGAGAGTGGTTCGGTCTAAATTAATTTCATGAATTTTGGATTTAACCTCTGCTATCATCGCTGACAGAGAGGAAGATGGGCCAAATTTATTAGCATGATTCAAATTAAATAGTTATTTTTCCATATTCCTTAAATTAGTATTATTTGTCCTCTTCAGGTGAGATGCCCTAGAAATAAAGTGGCCTCGCAAAACACAGCCTTATGCGCATTCCAAGTCACCTCGCCAGGAACCTTATGAGAAACATTTTCCAAAAAATAGTTGTTCAATACACCCTCCGCTAACGATCTATTTTCACTGTAAACTAACAAATAGTCACTCAGTTTCCATTGTCTGTTGGGTGAGGAAGAAACTATTTCATCTATATGCAAAATTATGGGAGCATGGTCGGACCAATTGATTTCTAAAATATCAGATCTCAAGATGTGTGGGATGAGAACACTCTGTATCAGAAACCTGTCCAGCCTGGAGTACATATTTTTGGACACAGAATAAAAAGTAAAGTTCCTCTCATTCTCGTGCATTAGCCTCCAAGGGTCATATATCGTGAACATTTCTCAGCTAGTCTATCACTATCTCTCCTGAGGGGTTGGTCTAATTTTTCTCTTGCATTGTTCAAATCACCATCCATTACAAAGTTCATGTCATCACACATCACCAAGGTCCCTCTCAGATTCTCATTCACCAGTTCCATAATCATCCTACAAAAAGTTAACTGACCCATGTTGGGAAAGTACACATTAACAATTGAATATAAAACGTTATTAACTTTACCAATCCACAAGACGTATCTCCCGTCATCATCCGCCATTACTTTTTCCGTAGAGTTGGCCACATTCTTGCTAAAAAAGATAGAGGCACCCCTAGACTTAGTTTTGTACGTGCAATAAAATTGGGATGGGAGTAACCGTGTCATAAATTTGTAGTTTTTACCTTACTTAAAATGAGTCTCCTGAATACAAACAATATCCAATTTGTTGGTTTTAACTTCTTTGAACATCAGTCGTCTCTTGTGAGTAGTGTTCAGGCCCCTCACATTAAATAACATGAATTTAATAACCATGGCTCAAATCTGAGAACTCGATCACTAAGAAAAAATGAACGACAATGTGAGAACCCGAAGGCCCGCGCCCCAAGAGAGGCGTCCAAAAATCCAACAATCTTAATAAAAGGTACCGTACATTTGGTTAGACAAAAATAAAGTTCCTAAAACAATTGAAACAAACCATTGCAACTTATCGTATTGCTTACATTGCATAGTAAAATGGATGGAGTGAATAAAAATAAATATATAAGAAATGGGGAATAAAAAACTTGGATAAATTCCCCTATCCGGGGAAAGAAAAAAACCTCATTTAGAAAAAGGGCCATGAGAATAATTTTTTTTTCTCAATCTCAGGGTATTAGGCCCAAGTTGGGGGGAGAGAAGACTACCTGGGGCAAGAGGAACCTATATAAGCAGTAAACAATTCAAATAATATTAGATATGTTGAGACAAAAAAACCGACTTCTAATATCAAGAAAACAACGGCCTCCAGTCCTGAGATCATAACCGTATGTTAAGCAACAATCGTTAAAAAGTGAAAAAGAAAAGGTAGTGTACCTATCAATTGTCATAGTTATGGTAATAAGTATCTGCATTGAGGAACTGACATAGTAAGGCAGGAACTAAACAAAAGTTACAGTGATCCCTGCCAATCGTAGGACTGGAGCAGAGAAAAAAAGAAAAAGTCAGCTATGTATCAATGCACATTTAGATCCATAGCACAAAGTTTGGTGCAGGGTACCAAGAAGGGGAAACAAAACAGTGAAAAAAGAACCAAAAAAATCAGGAAAAAACAAAGTCTGGTCTAGTAAACTTCAAGTGCAAAAGTGAAGTAAAGTAAAAATACATTGCAGCTTGTGAGTTACAATCCAAGACTGACATCTTTGAAGTTGGAGTTTGAAAAGATCAATCCGGAAAGCAGCCTAAAGCTCAGGTGTCATCAGCTCTGCTTTTCTTGTGAACATGTTTAGGGGTTGAAGATGAGAGTGCGTGTGATAGCGCCTGGCGTCTTGCAGTGGAATTAAGAAGATCCAAACCTTCCTCCGGTGACAATACTGTGTAGTTTCGACCCTCCATATGGAACAACACTTTCACAGGAAATCCCCACCTGTATCTTATCCCCTCTGTCTTAATTCAGCTGTGAAGGGTTGAAATTCTCTGCGACGTCTCATCGTGTAGGCTGAGAAGTCCTGAAACACTTTTATTTGTTTATACTCATCCTGTAGCCCAGATGTTCGAACCGTGCCCAAAAGCTCTTCCTTTATGTTGAAGAAGTGGAGTCTTACAATAGTGTCCTTAGGCGCTGTTGCTGGGGCCTTGTTCAGGGCCGGACTGGCCCACCGGGATACCGGGAAATTTCCCGGTGGGCCGTCGGCACCTGGGGCCGGCCCTTTAAATACTGCAGCCGCTTGAGCGCTCTGTGAAGAGCGGTCAGGCGGCTGCAGCTTCTCCCCTGTAGCGTGGCCGAGCTGCATTCCGGTCCGCGGTGCCGGCCGGCCGGACTGATAGGAAGGTGTGCACTTCCTGTCAGTCCGGCCGGTTACAGGAAACAGAAACTCCTGTTCCGCGCGCGGGGGTAAGAAGAGGGGGGGACAAAAGAGGGAGGGAGGGGAACAAGATGAGGGGGGAATAAGAAGAGGGGAGGGAGGGATAAGAAGAGGGAGGGGGAACAAGAGGAGGGGAACAAAAAGGGGGGAATAAGAAGAGGGGAGGGAGGGAATAAGAAGAGGGAGGGGGAATAAGAAGAGGGAGGGAGGGATAAGAAGAGGGGAGGGAGGATAAGAAGAGGAGGGGGGAATAAGATGAGGAGGAGGGAATAAAAGAGGGGGGGAATAAGATGAGGGGAGGGGGGAATAAGAAGAGGGGGGGAATAAGAAGAGGGGAGGGGGGGGAATAAGAAGAGGGGGAGGGGGGAATAAGATGAGGGGGAATAAGAAGAGGAGGGGGATAAGAAGAGGGGAGGGGGAATAAGATGAGGGGAGGGGGGAATAAAGAGGGGGGAAGGGAAGAAGAAGGGGGGAGGGAGGAATAAGAAGAGGGGAGGGGGGGAATAAGAAGAGGGGAGGAGAAGAGAGGGAATAAGATGAGGGGAGGAATAAGAGGGATTAGAGGGGGGGGAATAGAAAGAGGGAGGGGGGAAGAAGAGGGAGGGGGAATAAGATGAGGGGAGGGAGGGAGAAAAAGAGGAGGAGGGGAATAAGAAGAGGGGGGAATAAGATGAGGGGAGGGAGGGATGTAAGAAGAGGGAGGGAGGGAATAAGAGGAGGGGGGAATAAGATGAGGGGAATAAGAAGAGTGGAGGGCGGGAATAAGAAGAGGGGAGGGGGGATAAGAAGAGGGGAGGGAGGGAATAAGAAGAGGGGAGGGAGGGAATAAGAAGAGGGGGGGGGAAAGAAGAGGGGAGGGGGGAATAAGAAGAGGGGATGGGGGAATAAGATGGGGGGGATAAAAAGAGGAGGGGAATAAGAAGAGGGGAGGGAGGGGAATAAGAAGAGGGGAGGTGGGGAATAAGAAGAAGGGGCAGCTCTATAAGATAGGGGCCAAGACAGGGAGCTCTTTCACACTACGCGCGCACACACACACAATGCATCCCTATCCATACACAGAAACACAACATGCTTCCCTTACACACAGAGAAACACACAATGCATCCATTACACACACACACACACAATGCAACCCTTACACACAAAGACAATGCATCCTTTGCACACATACACAGAAACAGACAATGCAAACCCGTACACACGCATGCAAACACACACACTTCTTTTCTTACATACACACAGAAACACAATGCATCTCATGCACACACATACAGACACACACCTTGCATCCCTTATGCATACAAACACAGATTCACACAATGCATCCCTTACACACAACCAGAAACACATAATACATCCCTTATACACAAATACACACTGCTTCCACTACACACAAACACACTGCATCACCTGCACAAACTGGTAACCCTAAACACTACATACCATAAGCACACATATTAGATCCTCTACAATAACACATAACACATCCCCTACACACTCCACTCCCTGTGAGCGAACTCATGGGTGGGTGGAACTTATGAGTGGGCCTTATGGGCATACTCACCGTCAGGCCCTGGGGCCCAGACCTTGAGCTGTGTAAGGGGCCCCAAAAAAATTGAGCTGCTTCCAATTCTCCCAGAACATTGAATTTTGTGACCACAGTTGCAAACAGCCTCCAGAGATCCTGTTCTACACCAGACCAGTGGAGCCAAACTGCAGCCCATCATCACCCTCATCTGCTTGTAAGTAGGCAATCTAGTATATCATTAGTGACACTAATCTATAATTGACCTCACATTAAAGGGACACTATAGCTTAATGAAGTGGTTCTGGTGTCTATAGCTGGTCCCTGCAGGCTTTTTAATGTAAACACACACTGTGTGCAGCACTGGCGTTAGTTCATATGGCAGATCATATGGGTGGGGCATTGTGATGTGACATGTGGGGGCAGCAAATTTTTATTTTGTCTAGGGCGGCAAAAATCCTTGCAGGGAGGGAGCTGCGTGAGCTGCGCTGGCTCTGCTCCCCAGCACGCAGCTGAATGAGACTGGCGCCGGAATATAACATCATATTCCGGCGCCAGTCTCATTCAGCAGCGCGCGAGGGCGGGAGGGCACTAACACAGGAAGCACCTCTAGTGACCGTCTGAGTGACTGTCACTAGCAGTGTCACTTTGAAGCAATGTAAACACTGCCTTTTGTCTGAAAAGTCAGTGTTTACGTTGAAAAGCCTGTAGGGACATGCTATAGACACCAGTACCACCACATTAAGCTGTGTGTGTGCGTCTGTTGGTGAGTGAGCTTGCTTGCATGCGTGTGCCTGCTAGTGAGTGAGCTTGTGTTTTTATGTCAATGAGCTGATGTATATCAGTAAGATTGTTTGTCTATGAGGCTGTGTATCAATGAGCTTGTGTGTGTCACTGAAATGTCAGTGAAATTGCCTGTGTCTGCATGTGCGTATGCTTACTGTATAATTAAACGTTTTACCCTGAAAGGACCAATATTTTATATTAGAAAAAGCAATATATATATATATATATATATATATATATATATATATATATATTACTCAATTATCTGTCCTGGCAAGACATAGCCTTACATATTACACGCGACAATATATGGCGGAGTGACTTATGGGGCTGGCACAAATTTTTTTCCAGGGCTGCTTTGTATCCCCAGTCCGGCCCTGGCCTTTTTGGGTTTGGGTAGCCTATGAATGCGGTCCACAAGTAAATCCAAATTCGTGGCCCTTGGTAATACTGTCTTGACCATAGTCTGAAAATAGTCCAGCAATTCAGAAGTTTCAACATTATCAGGAATCCCTCTAATCCTTAGGTTATTACACCTACTTCTATCTTCAGAGTCCGCCATCTTCTATGCTTGAAGGTTAACCTGTTTTTGTAGATTCTTTACGGTCTCAACTAGATCTAGATGAGATTGTTCTTGAGCTTGTCTATATTAAATTTCCTCTGTTCGCTGTCCAATGCCTTCCATGACTTCATATATAGTATCAAAATCCTTTTTAAAGTCGAATTTTTAATCCAGTCTCAAGTTTTGAATTAGTTGAATGATCATGCCAGCTGACGGTGGAAGATCGTCTGCCATTTCCAGTGGCATATTAGGCAGGTAGGTCATGGTTTTATAACCTGTGGTGGCCATCTTGGATGTGGCAGTTGTCATCTTGGTTGTGGCAGCAGCCATTTTTGTGGTGGCAAAATCAGACTGTTCTTGAGTGGCCATCTTGGATATGGCAAAGTCAGTTGAAAAAGTAGCTTCAGCAGCCATCTTGGTAGAGGCATCAAGTTTATGCCTTTGTGCCAAGTGAGAATATTGGTGTAAATTAGAATTTTCTTCCATATCTATGCACTGTTCTTCTGAGCTCTCTATAGCTCTCACTGGTTCTGGTGACTTGTGGGATGTGGAGGAAGAAGCCCCCCCGCAGTTGTCGCCAGCCGTGAAGCCGAGGACCCCGACAGGGAACGGGACCGCAACCCCCCTGCATCCCTCTCTCCAGCCTGGCTGCTTTTATATATGAGCGACCGGGCTGTCTTAATACTTAGCCGCGAGCGGCAGCGTGCACATCCTGTGCGGAAGACTGTTCCCTGCACTCCGAGCGTGCCGAGCACTCCGAGCGCACTGAGCCGCGTTCTGAACTCACAACATTTACAGCTGCGGTCCCGCCGCCTGTAGCTTGATACGAGCGGGCCTCAGCCGCACTCGCATACGAGCAAATGTGGGAAGAAGGGTGGGAGGAAGGGAGGGATTTCCACGCTCCCACCAACGGTGATATAAGCCGCGGGCCGGTTTTAGGAGTGGGTGATTGGGCCTGCAAACCCTTAATCACCCTAGTCACTCTAACATCGAGTTTCTGCGTCCCAGATCCGTTTTTTTGTTTTTTCTTTGTTTCTGCATATTGGTGAAATGTTTTTGAAGCTGTTGCAGAAGTTAGTTCTTTGTCATTAAAGCTGTAAATGTAGTTTTTGTGACAATAATGTCCCCCTGGACCAGGAGCCTCTCTCGAACGTGGCTATCTAAGATGGTGGCCAAACTCCGCCCCCACAAAGGTGTACTCTGTGTGGGTGGGAGTGTACTGTATGTGGGGAGTCATTGTCTGTGAGGGTGTACTGTGTTCTTTAATAAAAGTTTAAAAAAAAAAAAGAATATTCCCCTTTTCCTGATCTTACCTTATCTCTCTTGGAGCTCAGGCACTTACACAGACTGACCCTTGCAAACCCACAGACTGACCCGCCACACACAGACTTACCCATACACACACACACACACACACACAGACTGTCCCCATAAACAAACTGACCCATACATATACACAGACTACCCCCACACAAAGACTGACCCTCCACACACACAGACTTACCCCTACACATGCAGGCTGACCAATACACACACAGACTGACCCATACACACACACACAGACTGACCCCCTCATACACAGACAGACTGACCCACACACACACACTGACCCCCACACACAGACTGAACCATGCACACACACATGCTGACCCCATACATACACAGACTGACCCCTCCCACAGACAGACTGACCCATACACACACAGACAGACCAATACACACACACAGACTGAACCACACACACACATTGACTCTCACTTACCAGCAGCTGCCTGGATGCCTCATTTCACCAGGCAGAGCCGAGCTTACTCTCCCTGTCTCTCTCTGTGATCCAGCACAAAGTTCCTTCCAGCACAGTGCTCCCTCTGGCCGCACGTGGGAATTCTTCAAATAATTCTCCCACCTCAGTGCACTGCTGCTGCAGCTTGTGAAGGAAGACTCATTGCTCCCGGCTTCGATTTCAATTGGAGGGGCACAAGGGGGGCATCGCATGATGAAGGGGGGTCATGGCCCCCTCTGCTCCCCCCATCCTCCCACTAGTTGGGAGGACAAGGAGGAGAGACTAGTTTTCAAAGCAATTCTATGCCAGATATTGCCACGAGAGCTTTCTACACTCTGCTGGACATCAATGTCAACACCTTCAGGGAAGTTCATGTCTGAGCTTGTTCGATCTCTTTCCACATCATGTTAGCCCCATCCTCAAGATCTGAAATGTGGTTAGCATAGGGGTGAGATTAGTTTGGTATAGCCAAGAGAGATCATTGGTAATCCAGATTCCCAGATATTTTACTGTTTTTTTCATCATAGTGGAGGTGGAAGCTCCTTTGTAGGATGTCAGCCCTTTTGTGTGGTAGATTAACATTGAATAGGTTGGATTTGGTATAGTTGATCTTACAATTAATGGAGCACTCTTGTGGTGGACAAAACCCACTTGATCCGGAAGTACCAGGTCTGGTATGAAAGGCATCAGCTAAGTTGCCAAAATCTTTGCAAATAACTTCACGTCACAGTTTAAAAAGGAGATCGGCCATAATTAGCACACTGCGACAGGTCCTTGTCCTCTTTGGGAATCAGAATGGTGTTAACTGCCAATGTTTGAGTGGGGGGGAAGTGAAGGACTGAAATCCTGCAGTGCCTGCAAGGTCCCCCTGCTTAAGAAAGCACAGAGGCCCATCTGAAGTTTGTCAATGAACATTTGAATGATTCAGAGGAGAACTGGGTGGAAATGTTGTGGTCAGATGAGACCAAAATCGAGCTCTCTGGCATCAACTCAACTTGCCGTGTTTGGAGGAAGAGGAATGCTGCCTATGACCCCAAGCACACCATCCCCACCGTCAAACATGGAGGTGGAAACATTATGCTTTAGGTGTGTTTTTCTGCTAAGGGGACAGAAAATCTGCACCGCATCAAAGGGATGATAAACTGGGCTGTGTACCATCAAATCTTGGGTGAGAACTTCCTTCCCTCAGCCAGGGCATTGAAAATGGGTCATGGATGGGTATTCCAGCATGACAATGATCCAAAACACACAGCCAAGGCAACAAAGGAGTGGCTCAAGAAGAAGCACATTAAGGTCCTGGAGTGGCCTAGCCAGTCTCCCGAACTTAATCACATAGAAAATGTGTGGATAGAGCTGAAGGTTTGAGTTGCCAAATGTCAGTCTCAAAACTTTAATGACTTGGAGAGGATCTGCAAAGAGGAGTGGGACAAAATCCCTCCTGAGATGTGTGCAAACCTGGTGGTCAGCTACAAGAAATGTCTGACCTCTGTGATTGCCAACAAGGGTTTTGCCACAAAGTACTAAGTCGAAGGGGTCAAATACTTATTTCACTCATTGACATGCAAATTAATTTATAACTTTGTTGACATGCGTTTTTCTGGATTTTTGTTGTTGTTGTTGTTATTCTGTCTCTCACTGTTAAAATACACCTAACATTAAAATTATAGACTAATCAAATTTTTTGTCAGTGGGCAAACGTTCAAAATCAGCAGGGGATCAAATACTTTTTTCCCCTCACTGTATGCTTCTCAATTATCTCTAGTACAGTTTATTGAGAATGGATGAACGTTAGCTCATCATTCCAGCCACTTTCACTAGCATTGTGGAGCTAACAGAACTAGAAGAAAACCTCCCTAGATGTCTGGGGAACTGCCAAAGAGGTGTATCTACCCCCAGTTATAAAAGTGCCAATTTCTACTAAATTAAGGTAATTCCCCGACAGAACAATTAGTTCAGGCATAGATTAAAAGCAGTTTGGTTCATTTGTACTAGCTGAAAAGAATTTGTGCATAACTCTAGTACACATAGATAGTCGAAGGGTGGAAACTCTGATGTGCTGAGTATTTCTTTCCTCTACTTAATTAACAATTAATTCATTAAGCCTTTTCTCAGATGACTCACTCACTGTATGCCTCTACAAAATCCCTTTCCGTATTTGATCACAGACTAAACTTTTTTTTCTCCTTACATGCATAATAATTCATGATGTGGAAGCAAATAGCTAAGTGGCACATATGACAAATAGATACTCATTTATAACAGAGCTGTCTAGTAACACCCTGCTTTGCATTAAATGGTCTTGCATCAGTGTTTATTGACAGACTATTCTTTCATGCTAATTATGCTAAAGTTGAAAAAACTGATTTGACATTGTACACTCATTTTGCTGGAGGATGTTTACTAGCACATACTGTTCACAATGAATTATTTCTACTAAAACATAACACCTTTATCTCAGAATTAGAATAACTCTGAATTATATTTATGATCTCTTACAATGGGGACACCAGGGCACACGAGGCACCGTAAGGACTACATTATCTACTTGGGTATAGAGCTTCAGATGGGATCGGTGACCCAAGACCTATTGGGTAGGTTTGGTCTGCGATCACTTGCTGGGAACTGAGAAAATGGCAGGTAGTGGTATTGCCTTTCCATGACCGACCTGAAATTACTGTCAATCAACGCCAGAGGACTCAATACCCCTGAGAAGAGATCTCTAGCACTGAGGGATTTTAAGTCTCAGAATGGGCATATTGTTTATGTACAGGAAACTCACTTAAGGTAGGATAGTGCCCTGACAATCATATGTACCCTCAGGGATTTTACAGGAATAATCATGAAAGTAAATTCAGGGGGAATGTGATCCTACTCCACAAATCAATCCTGTTTCAACACAAAGGGTTGCTTGTAGGTAGGGAAGAATGCTTTGTTTTTGTTATTGGGTCAGATATATACATTTTCTAATCTTTATGCCCCCAATATGAGACAAGGGAAGTTCCTTCAGACAGTACTTACACAACTGACCACAATATTTTTTGGTCCTGGGGGGGACTTTAACCCCTTAAGGACCAAACTTCTGGAATAAAAGGGAATCATGACATGTCACACATGTCATGTGTCCTTAAGGGGTTAATATCACCCTGTGCCCCCATATTGACATGTCCACTGCCACATCGGTGATACTGGAGCAGATCCTTTGGATGATTAAAAACGTCTTACACACTCGTCTCACTGATTGCTGGCAATCTTTTCACCCTCACAACAGGGACTACATGCACTACTTGACAGATAGATACTTGACTACTTTTCCATCCCATACTACTACCTCTTGCAGGACTGCCGATTTGAAATAGGGCTGATGACATGGATGGACCATGTCCCGCTGACTGTAACTTCCCCTCTTTTCAGACAATGCATGACTAACCGGCGACTCAACAAGACACTCATCACTGATCCACGCAACTGCCACTCTGACACAATACTTTGCTGAAAATGTAACACCTGACACCCCTGTCCGATTGTATGGGAAGCTCACGGCCAGAGGCAGACAATAAAGAAGAATCTAAAAGATGATATTCATGCCCTAACAGAAAAAGATTCATGCACTAGAATTGGCATACAATGCAGACCTCGATTTGATGCAATAAATCAGCTATCCACCCTTCTTCATTACTGTATCCAATGTTCTCTGCAGCAAACCAATGCATACTTTTATGTTTATAGAGACAAATGTTGCAAACTGCTTGCATGCATTCTAGATAAAAAGAGAACCAAATCCTACACTGACTATTTGCATGACACCTGTGGTCATACACAATAACTGCCTGATAAAATCGCAGAGGCGGCTCGAGAATATTTTTTAAACCATATTCCAAAGCGCCGTTGGAGGGCTCCTCACAGTCTGAGCAGAAAATGTCCATGATACAGTCTTACCTTGCTGACAACATTCGCTCAAAAATACCCCCAGGGGTTGAGGAAGCTTTGGAAACCCCCTTGGCAATGGAGGAGCTGGCGACCGCAGTGAAAACAACAAATTTTTTTGGGGGGTATTCTGTCTCTCACTGTTAAAATACACCTACCATTAAAATGATATACTGATCATTTCCCATACTGTATATAAATGTCATTATTGCATCCTTCTCAAATTTCATTGTTACCATGTAATAAAGGTAATACCATGGAACAGTTGTACAAGTAACAAATGTCTGCAACACACAAGTAAACAAGAGAAGTTTCATAAAGTTAAACAATAAAAAGCCAGACTTTGTAGTTGGTGAATAATGCTGTGATCCCAAACTGTCATAAACCTCAAACTATAAGGTACTCATGCCTTAAAGGTCATAGATTTATTAAAGGGACACTCTAAGCCCCATAGCAACATTGACCCATTTCAGACATTAATGAGCAAAAAGATCCTGTATCAATGTACCCTTGCAAGGAGTTGCTTATAAATGCAATTTTTCCAACAATTATGCTTATTTGTATTAATTAGTGATCAATGATTCCATGCTATTTGTGACTCTATGAACCCATAAACACATTTTACAAAGGTAAACCCACTTAAATGCTCACAAATCATATTGTTTTTTGATCTCATATATGAGTATCGTAATCCATGTTTTTAAATGTATTTTTTGTCAATACAAACAAAAAGCTTTGTGCAATTCACATAGAATTCTGAATCCAGCTAGTTATCAAATTGGAAGTTCCAAACACCATAAAGACCTATTGTGATATTTCCCCAAATTACCAGTACGAACAGGAGCCGATTGATGACAATTCAGCCATTGAAATTTAAAAGGTACAGGGAAGATTATAAACAGGGTTGGGTGTATAATTGGTCTGCTACACCCTATCTCAGGTGTCCTAGATTACAGAACCAGTACAGATCCACAGATTCCAAAAGTGTCAGTTTCAGAGATGATTTAAATGTGACTAGTTTAGCTTTAACATCTAATATGTCAACAGTTAAAAATCATAAAAAAAAAAAAAAAAAAGAATAGACAGTCATTAAGCAGGCCCTGCATTACAAATATCTCCTTGGCAAAAAAACAAAACAGACAAATTACCACAATCAACACGCTAGACAGGGAACTAGAACTCAAGACCTAAGAAGATGCATATCTGAGGCAGAAGAACTATAGAGCATATTGAATCTTTCAAGTGAAAAATTAAAGTATGATGTAATAAGACTTTTAACAAAAAGGGCTCTCTTTTGCACTAACCACAGATTTTAATTAATTTCACACCATTGTGAACAGACATGAGTGACACAACATTTTTCACAGGAAGGGCATAATAATATGTCTTTGTGGGACATGTGAGACAGTAATGGGTGCTATGTTTGTGCCAATCTGTATATTGGTTTGTAGGAGAAGACCTGAGTATTTATTCTTGATCTAATTGTGCATCTGGAGTGGTACAAGTGATGAGCTAAAAGAGTTAGTCTAGGATAAACGTATGTCTAGTTTTAGGAAGACACTGACTATTAGTGCAGACTATATTTCAAAGTTTGACCAGATATGTAAAATTGTTCAAATCTAAATACCAATCCTGTTGATTAATTCTTGTATTGAACATGTTGATTGGTCTGGTATTAAATCTATACACTTGGTCTGGTATTAAATGTTGCTTGGTCTGGTATTAAATCTTTACTACAATAACTACAATAACAACCCTCAACAAATATATGTAAATTAATCATCCCAATGTGGCTTTGCTACATATATACTCACAAAGTCACATCTTTCTAGAACTTGTATGGCTCTTAGGGTTGGTGGTAATTTTTGCTCCTTGGTAAGCCAGAAGGTTTACCATATCAGATAGTATTTCAACTGCAATATAGTTTTGTCAAATAATATTAGCTGTTATAGTGAATATGTAATTCAAACAAACTCTTTGATAACAGTATTTTCAAACTGACAGTAAATGGTAGTGACTTCAGTATGGTAATTGAATGGATGGTGGGCCCTTCAGGTGGACTTGGGGCTAGCCCTGTTAGCAGACTCGGCGGGGAAGAGCTATGGGCCCATGTCTTGAGCTTTGTAAGGAGCCTCAAAATTGCTGATGGCATCCTGGCCATGATAGAGAGGCGACAGAACACACAGTGCATTGCAGATTGCTGTGTATAGGGCTGCAGACTGATCAGAGTAGCAATGAGAACCCCTGACCACCACCAAAAAAACCTTAATCCAATTGAGCAACTGTGGGATGTGCTGGAAAAACAAATCCGATCCATGGAGGCATCACATCACAACTTGCAGGATTTAAAGGATCTCATGCTACAGTCTTGGTGCCACAAGACATGTTCAGAGGTCTTGTGGAGTCCATGCTTCAATCAGAGCTGTTTTGGCAGCGTGAAGGGCAACAACACATATGGTTTTGTGTTGCATTTTCAGTTAAATTTGAAAAAAACTAACAATTAAAGCATTTGTGGTGTTGAGCTATTTCATTTGTTTTTGTTTGACTTGTTTATTACAAACAGCTGAAAGTCTATACATTTTGACAATAAACCAGATTTTCAATGGGGGTTGAATAATTTTAAATACAACTATATCTTGTTAGTGACCTCTCTCAGAAGCAACTAAGGTGAGTAAAGTCTTAGATGTGAGGATTATCAGAGCCACTCTTTAGTGTACCAAAGTACCAAAGTCGTGTCCCCAATGTCTGGTGTTGGTGGCGGTGATGAATCCGGTGATTATAATTCTCTTTTCCCCACCACTGCAGACATATCACTTTTACCTCTGGCCCAGTAACTACTCAACTATAAGTATGATGAGTCAGAGGAATTAGAAGATGACAGTTTAGAGATTACTTGCAGCAGCCCAGTAATTTCCCCAACAGCCAGGGTTCATTCGCCTCCTGCATCCTGTCCACCATCTCAGTCTGTGATGGATAACCTGGCACCCTGACTGGGCACCTCCGCCAACAGATGCTTCCTGGCTGACGCTGAGAACCATAGGGTTAAACAGTAACTCAATTTTAATGGAGGCACACTGGCCTTTTATGCAAGTTTCCCAACAAAGGTGACACCCACGTGAACCTTGTTGGGCACAGGGATAAAAAGCTAACAAACCAATAAAAACAGTCCCTCCCCTCTGCCTGGGCGATAAGTAAGGCAGATAATGCATTAAAGGGACACTATAGTCACCTAAACAACTTTAGCTTAATGAAGCAGTTTTGGTGTATAGAACATGCCCCTGCAGCCTCACTGCTCAATCCTCTGCCATTTAGGAGTTAAATCCCTTTGTTTATGAACCCTAGTCACACCTCCCTGCATGTGACTTGCACAGCCTTCCATAAACACTTCCTGTAAAGAGAGCCCTATTTAGGCTTTCTTTATTGCAAGTTCTGTTTAATTAAGATTTTCTTATCCCCTGCTATGTTAATAGCTTGCTAGACCCTGCAAGAGCCTCCTGTGTGTGATTAAAGTTCAATTTAGAGATTGAGATACAATTATTTAAGGTAAATTACATGTTTGAAAGTGAAACCAGTTTTTTTTTTCATGCAGACTCTGTCAATCATAGCCAGGGGAGGTGTGGCTAGGGTTGCATAAACAGAAACAAAGTGATTTAACTCCTAAATGACTGAATTGAGCAGTGAAATTGCAGGGGAATGATCTATATAGTAAAACGGCTTTATTTAGCTAAAGTAATTTAGGTGACTATAGTGTTCCTTTAACTTAATTATCCCCAGGCAGAAAAATACACATTTTTATAAAGTATCATAAGTACCCCAAAACACAACATATCCCCATAAGTTATTTACCCTGATAGCCCTGATCTGGGTAAACAACATATCCAAAAATCACCCAGATCAGAGCAGGGGTTCAGGAAATTCCTGGAAGTCTCTTTTTGACCGACTGCATGCATGGTTTCATGCCCAAAACAGTTCCAGAGAATTAGGCTGTGCGGCCAATCTACTTCAAACAGTCGATATACACTTCGAATTACCAAACGTAACGGTTGATGAACATAGTCAGTGTGTGTCCCTTGTTTGTGGGTTTCTGCCAGTCGAACCCGTTCGACTCCCGTTCGAATAGCCAAAGTTCCATGGAAGGTAACTGTTCAGCGGTGTTCGTGCCGTAAGGTGTCCAATTTGTGTTCCATGACAAAACACAGCTAAACGCGTTCGATTAAATAAGATGGGCGCCGCCACATGTTCGACTATACGAATGGCGACCACCCAGCCATTCGTCAATTTGGCTGCGGTTATCAGCCTGGGAGGTAAATAGGCTGCACACTCCACTTGCGTATGGTCTGGCTGTTCGGTGGTTCGAAGTGGCACTTCAAACCACTTCAAAAGTTCGAACTACCATTGTCCAAAGTCCCAGTGGGCACAAATAGGGTCTGTTAGCCACAATAATTTAAAGGGGCCATAGTCACAGGGTAAAAGGCTGACAAGTAGTTGCCTCCAAACCCCAGTGGCAAAGTGACTTTCACCACACCGTCCATTTGTATGTGCTGTAGAATCATCTCATCCAATGGACACAGTTGAGACATCAGCTGCACCTGCGGCCTCTAGCGCACGTGGCTCACTCACTGTCAGTTTTACCAGCAATACCATTACCAGTGTTTTAGCATTAATCAAGCAAGTGCTAGCATAACAGCTAATGTTGCCACAGCTTCCACGACAAATCCACCCACATCTTCAGGAGGCATAAAGCAGAGGGTTCAGGAAACTGCAGTGTACTAATGAAGCAAAGTTTGGGATCACTTTGAGTGCCTCCTTGTACAAAGTGCAAACCTTGCAGCTGGGAAGTGAGTAGGTGGCAAGTGAAGAGTGACAGTGTGTGTGTGCGTGTGAGTGACAGAGTGTGTGTGTGTGTGAGTGACAGAGTGTGTGTGTGAGTGACAGAGTGTGTGTGTGTGTGTGAGTGAGTGACAGAGTGTGTGTGTGTGTGAGTGACAGAGTGTGTGTGTGTGTGAGTGAGTGACAGAGTGTGTGTGTGTGTCTGTGAGTGACTGTGTGTGTGTGAGTGCGTCTGTGTGTGTGTCTGCATGTGAGTGTATAAGTGTGTCTGTCAGTGTATGATGTGTGTTTGTCAGTGTATGAGTGTGTGTCTGTCAAATCAGTGAGAGTATGTTTGTCATTGAGTCTGTGTGTGACTATCAGTGTGTCTGTCAATGAGTGTCAATCAGTGTGGGTCTGTCAGTGTCAATGAATGAGTGTGTGACAAATCAATGAGTCTGTGTCTGTCAGTGACGTCTGTGTGTTTGTCATTGAGTGTGTGACTGTCAGTGTGTACAGAGTGTAGCGGAGCAGAGCGCGGTACAGGAGCTTCTGTTTCCTGTACCTGGCCAGACTGACAGGAGGTGCTCAAAGAGAGAGTACTCCCTGTCAGTCCGGCCGGGTACAGAAAACTGAACCTCCTTTAGGGGATCTGCTCCGCTCGGCAATGCAACAATAGAGGTAGTAGGCACACCAGGAAGGGGAGTGTGACCACTAAAGGGGTGTGGGGTGCACCAAGGGACAGGGAGGGAATGGGAGAGAAACACCAAGAGACAGGGTAAAGAGGGGGGAGAAGAACACTGAGGGACAAGGAAGGGACCACTAATGGTCGGGGAGGGGAGAGGGGCTGGTTAAGAGGCACATAGGTGAAGATGTTTTTTTTTTGGGGGGGGGGGCGGAAAAATGCATCTTCGCCTATGTACCTAAAAATCCAAGTACCGGCCCTGACCCCACTCACCAACGCACCCAGACTAGAAGCAATCCCACACATGCAGTCTGTTTGGAAATCTTTCATTTGTTTCTACCAGAGGTAGTAGGCACTGCAAGACTCAGCCAGGCAGGTTGAAGCCACAACAATAAAAGGCATTTGAAAAAGGAGGAACAGCTACTGCAGGTGTAATTTAATTTGAAAACATTTCTTTTTTTAAAAACCCCCTTTTTTCAATTTAATCACGCCTGCTGCAAGTAGTTTATTTGTTTTGTTTTTAACTGAAGGACAGACACTGATGTTTCAGACTGGTGTGTTGTTGTCAGGGTGGAAAGGGTAAGTGGCCCACTGACCTTTTCCCTTCATTCTTTGGATAAATCCCCTATTTTGAACTTAAAATTAATGCTGCTCCTTATTTTCGGTACTTAAATTCTGCCAGCCCAGTTTTTTTTTTTTTTTTATCCTGCCTAAGTGTTCTATTAAAACCAAAATAAAAGTGTTGCACTAGTTTAAAACTCACCCTTTTATGCTATGGGGCTTTTATGCAGGACTTGCCTGTCCATAGGACCCAGGGGGGCCATGGTTACAGGCAGCACCTTCACAGGGCTGATCCTTGGCAGGAGCACAGGAGGCACCGCTACCAGGCCCCTGAAGGTGGGGGTGCCAAGAGGAGCCTGGTCACAGGAGGCCCAGGAGGTGACAGACGCTTGCTTACATGGATGGCCGGTGCCTACACTGATTTTATACATAGACAACATGCACTACACACATGCTGCATGCACTAAACACTGCATTCAGTGCACACACTGCATACAATAGACACAGACACTGCATCCACTACACACACTGCATCCACTACACAAACACACACTCTGCATCCACTACACACACACATAATGCATTAAATACACACATTGCATACAATACACACACTGCATAACCTAGTAGATAAAGGCATGGTTTTGGTGAGGGGTGGGGCAGCATTTCATCCTTGGACCCAGGCATCACAATGCTTTTATTATTCACATAGTGGTCCCTTGAGCAGCGTCAACAGTTTTTGTAGCATTCTCATAATACTTTCTTGTCTACATTGCTGTACCTGAGCTATGTACAAATCTACTTGTCTTTGTTGCTGTTCCTCTTACTTCCTGTTTCTATTTGTGCCCTGTTTGTCCTGTGTATGCCATAAATTGTTCAGAGAAAACCTCTAGTGACCTGACACTAACCAGCAGTATATTATACTATAGTAGTATAGATACACCCATCTTAATTACTGTTAGTATTCATAAAGTTAATAAGCAGTTTAAATTTTGGGTGAGGTTGCCATAAATGTGAGAGCTTACTTACAATTTACTGTAAATAACAAAAATAAATAAATATAAATAGTACACATGCATTTGTGATATTATAAAACCACAAAATCAAACTCTTCAACAGACAGCTGAACAATATGGGATAAAGTCTGAAACATTTTAGAAGTAGGATATATATGCATATATTTATGATACATAACATTAACTGCATTTTGCACTTACGAAGAAAAATTTAAAAATGATAATTAAAATGAGCAACTATTAATTCTCTAACGATTATACGATAGAATAAAACATTGAAAATCCACTATAGTATGTATGTGTTAACCTATTTTGAGAAGATTTTTTTGTTTTTCAAAATTTATATTAAACATTTAGAAAATGACATCACAATCTACTTCAGACTAGACAAAGCAAAGTCAAGTATTGTTTTGAATATTTTTATTGGTTTCATAACATAAATGCATGTATCAAACTAATCCGTAGTTAAGCATGTGATTGTCCACGCAGGGGCCTAAGAATTGGTTTAGCGTATCAAACTGATTTGTAATATAGCCAGTTCTCGCCCTCGCAGGGGCTGAAGCATTGGTTTACACAGTATGCACATTTGGTTGCCTTCGCAGAGGCGAATTTGTCATAGCCAGTTTAACTTAACCTTTTGGTACATAGCTGGGTACTTTGCGCTTTATACTCTTATAATCTGTGGTGCCCATTCGTTTTGGTTAGCAAAGTCAAGTATTGTAAATGAAGAGTAATGTCAGAGTAATCCAGGCATCAATCTTGCAATCACTGTGATGACGTGAGTCCTTCTGTTTTCAATTTTTAAACAAATGCTCTTCAGCTGACCAAAAGTGAGGCCGAACATGATTTCAATGTCACTTTTCATGCATGATGATGCTCCTTTAGTCAAAGTGACGCTGCATATCATTCCAGTACCAGTTTTGATGCAAGTTGATCCTTCTCTGGCCAAATTGAGAAAAAATTACGCCATACAAAAGCATGACGCCATTCAGTGATGCTGGCCAGTTAAGTTTTAATGTCGTTCTAATACCTATATATTGTCAGTCCGCCATGAGACATGTGCTCTGTCATGGTCTTTAGTCAGTGGTGGACTACAGCACTGCACTGGTGCGGCTTCACTGGGGCCCAGAGCATGGGCGGGACCCGGTGCCGGGAGTTCTGCCACTGAGTTCGTGTTTAGTAATGGGCCCTTCAAACAGTGATGGGCCCCCTCCAGAGCAATGGGCATTAACGAACAGGGGTACGTTCAGGCTTTTAGAGGGAATTGGCACCCAACCAGGCCTCTGTTCATCGCCATCCATCACACTGGTCTGTCTCCCCAAACGCTCTGGGCCCCAGACTCTGGACTCATCAATGTCCTGTGATCTCAAGCAGCTGACAGCCTGTAACTTCCTTCTACCTATAATGAGAACAGGTGCGAAAGGAAGCACAGGGAGCAGGAAGAAAGAAAGGAGTGAGCTGCTGCCCACACATAAGCAAACAGTACATCTAGCAAGTCACACTCCTACAGACAAAGGTAAGCTAACAGGAGGGTGCCTGTAAATATAAATACAATGACATATGTGTGTGTTAATATCAGTGTGTGTCTATCAGTATCTCACTATGTATATGTATCAGTGTATCTGAGTGTGTGTTTCTGTTCCGGTATGTGTACCTGCGTGTCAGTATGTGTTTCTCAGTGTGTAACTTTTTGTCAGTGTGCGCATCTGAGTGTGTATCTTTGTATCGGTGCATATTTGTGTCTGTCAAAGTGTGTGTGTGTGTATTTATGTGTCAGTGTATCTGAGTGTGTGTGTATGTGTGCAAGAGTGTGTATTTATATGTCACTCTGTGTATCTGAATGTGTATCTTTGTGTCAGTGTGTATTTGAATTTATGTGTGTATGTGTGCCAGTGTGTGGATCTGAGTGTGTGTGTATGTGTCATTGGGTATATGAATGTGTGTGTGTTTTTGTATCTGTGTGTTAACGTGTATGTATACCTGTGTAACAAACATACTATTGTATTCAAATGCAAACACAAGTTTGCCACTGCATTCTAATGGCAACAGTACATACAAATACACTCCTACATGCACATAGTCTATACAACAGCATGCTTACATTTAAAAGTACAAACATTGCTTACAAATACAACCCCGCAAGGATGGGCATATGTAAGATCTCCAGCTCACATAGCACTGTGCGCTAGAGAGGTGCCAAAAAAAATCCTTGTACCAGGGCCCTCTCTACATTAGTTCCGGCACTGTCTCTAGTAGCCAAAGAGTGTGTTTTGATTGTGTTAGCCTTTTCTGGTGTTTTTACCTTGTCTTGTTTACTAAGTATTCTGATCTCTCTAATCCCGTCTTTGGCTTATCTCACCATCTCGCTGTCCTTCTGTATTTCTTAACCTCTGCCTGTTATTTGACCATTCTTACCAGTGGTGTATACTGGTTTTGTGCTGCCCTAGGCAGGACAAAACTCAGGCACCCCACCCCGCCCTTCCCCCCTGCCCTGCCTTCTAAATACACACACACATTCACTGACAGATACGCATACACTAGCTAACAGACATACACACACAGACACACACACTCATTCACATTAACACACTCACTTTTTAAAAAAAATTTAACCCCCCCAGCCTTTGGGAATGCTGGGGGAGTGGTTCTCCCTCTCCCTGTGGTCTAGTGGGGCTGCTGTGCAGTCGGTCGGGCGGCGGCGATGGCGAGGGAGCACTTTCCCCTGAGCTTTCTGCTCAGCTCCCTCGCGCGCCGCATAGTGATGCCGGGGGCTCCAGGTGACCACCCGCCTGCCCGACAGACCGGATTGTTAGCCGCAAGGCTAACAAGACATTTGCCCTGGGCATTTGGGGCGGCTTTTTTTGCCGTCCCCTGGAAAATGCCGCCCAAGGCAAATGCCTTGTTTGACTCACGGCTAATACGTCCCTGATTCTTACTCTTGTCTGTGGCAGATAATTTTTTTGAGCTGGACCATTTTTTAGGAAAATTAAAACATTTTCATTATATGTTGGTTCGGCTCAAAAGAATTTCGGTAATGAAAAACTGATTTGGAAAATGAATTAGATGAACCAAAAGGTTGTGAAATGGGCCAATCAGTGTACTGAAAAATATATACATAATATGAATATTGCGTGTATATGTATATATAATATATTATATGCACATGGTATTCATATTGTTTATATTTTGCAGTACACTGATTGTCCCATTATATATTTATCAGTACACTGATAGGAACAATTTCACACCATTTGGTTCACAAATCAAATAAGAAACATTCACTAGATCTGTGAATAAAATCAGCATTTAGTTACTGTCCCTATCCATTAATCATCTCCTTTTTGGTTATATTGGGCGGCCATCGAATGTTTTGTTTGGTTTGTGATTCTTGACAAGGAGAAATGGAAGCATTGTTTAATTTCTACTCTGTAAGTTTTCTCTTTGTTGACTAAATAAAGTGAAAGTAACAACGCACTAACCAAAATAGATATACAGCTTTAAATATTATATTTATTTTTGTATATATTTGGTCTTTACAGCAGTATCACTGCATACAAATGCATGTTCTGAGTGTGCCCTAAATTCCCATTTTTTCCGCTGTAGATTTGGAATCTAGACCATATTCGTATTGGGCTGATTACCACACCCATCTTCTATGGGTGAGATGCTATGCCCATTTAAAAGTGTCTACCAGGAAGCATACATTGAGGAGTTTCTTGAAGCAGCTTAATCTGTAAGTATTGCAAGTTAGCATGTAAATCTCCCATGTTAAAATTTGTGTAGGACCCACCGATATTGGGTTACTGTGACGTACTGGTGGGCTTAAAACCATGTGGCCATATGGTGTCACTGAATCCTCATATTTCTTTGCTAAGGTAGGTGATTTTAAGTAGCCTTGTAAAATTTAAAGCTGTATTTTTATTTTTTGTGTGTGCACTGTTCCCTTAACTGTATTTTGTATATGTTTTGGTCTTTATGGCTGCACCACTACTTAGAAATGCATGTTTTGGGTGTGTCCCCAATTTCCATTTTTTTTCTCTATATTGATTGCCATGGATAAAGGACAGGGATTTTAACAATGATTGACAAGGAGCTAAGATGGAGGAGGTGCCCATATGAAAGATAAGATGTGTGGATTTCTTCATTTAATGTTTTTTTTTTTTGCAAGGTTTTTTTTAATATAAATATAGAGATAATTGTACATAATATTAAAAATAATGTGAACAAAATGTAAAAAAAAAAAAAAAAACAATCAAAATCAATATGGCATCAGTTCTTTGTAGTGAATAATTTTTTTCAAGAAATTTAATTCAAATTAAACATCTAAAAACAATTATGAATGTTTTGTAACATTTAATAAGGTCTGGAACTCAGCTCTAGTCTAAACCTGTTTGTTTATTCACAGCCAACTTAATTACACTTATTACTTGGCAAACAAAGAACTTCTACTTCACTAATCATGTCTCTGGGAAAGAGCAGAGCGTTAATGTTTTATTAAAAATTAAAAGATAATTGTGATGTCAACAATGAAGAAGAGACAGGATTACCATTAATGTTACATTGCATTTGTTGTACTGTTGAACATGTTTATTCTTGGCCATCTAGTAGCAGATTAGATTTAATATAGACGATCCCACTGTACAGTGCTGAGAACATTATATATCACTGTCAATGGGCAGAGAGTGAGTGCAATTTACCCAGAAAGATTTTGTGCACTTACCATATAATACATACAAAATAATAGGTGGAGCTGTAAAGTCTCTTGAACAATCTGTAAAACAGAATGAATGCAGATAGCGTAGTATGTCTATACAGTATATTGCATAATAGAGGTAAGATGATTGAACTCACAAGACTAGAGTCATACCGACATATGACTCTAAAAGTATGCTCCCTTGAACCATTGGGGGGTTGTCCAAACCCTTCTTTCGTTGTTTTCTTGATGTTCCCCCTTGTGATCCTTAGAGTGTCTCCAAGAAGTCAGGACATGATGTAGGACGACATAGAAATACTATGCAATATCAGAGAACACTGAAACATCATCTAAGATACAATAAATACCATGACACTATAAGAAAGGAATATCAGAGACATGACAACTACGACAAACCTACAAGGGGAAATACTAAGTCTCACCACGTATCCCCGGTGAGACGTCCTAAATATAGTAGTTACAGTCAAGCCGTACAATCAAATATTCCAGAGAGAAGAGATCAGAAATCAGTTCCAACATCATATGTGTTGAATAGAACAGAGAGACAACCACATATATCTAGAACAGAAGTAGAAAAACAATCTAATACACCTAGAACAGAACCCTCACCTGTTTTATGGAAAGACCCGATCTCAGAGAGACTAAAATTGACACGCCAGGTCAAAATTTGGGAATCTCCGGGCAAACGCCAGAGGTCATTAACACAAGAAAGAGACATAGAAGGAGAGGAAAACAGACACAGGGAAAAGATAACAATGGAAGGTATTTTTAATCTAACAGATACACAATTACCTAAAGACCAAATGGAAATACTCCAAAAGGGTTTAAAATTTGCCCCCACAGTAGATATTAATAAGTTTGATTTTTATATTGATATTAATAAATTTATTAGACAATTGTGTTTAAAAAAAATTTCTATAACAAAGAGGATAGATTAAGTGAAGATATGACATCTGAATACATACATATAGATTTAAAAGCAAAATCTAATTTTTTTCCAAAACACCTAATATCAGATGAAATAAAGGCATTTGAACTGATGGTAATGAAGGAAGTGAAAAAGATGAAACCGCTAAATAGTTACCATCAAAATATGTCCAGAAAAGAAAGGGAAGCAATAAAAAACTTACAACAAAACAAGGAGATAGTAATTAAACCAGCGGATAAGGGGGGAGGGGTAGTATTAATTCCGAAAAATAAATATTTATCAGAAGCTGAAAGAATACTTTCAGTATGAGACATGTATAAAATATTAGATAAAAATGCAACTGAAATCGTGAAAACAAAGTTTGATAATTATATAACCAAAGGATTAGAAAAAGGCATCCTGACATCGCAGGAAGCTAAATACTTGACCACCCCCCACCCGATAATGCCGGTATATTACCATCTTCCTAAAATACATAAGAACAAAGAAAATCCCCCAGGACGACCTATAATATCAGGCGTAAATTCCATTTCAGCAAAAATTTCAGAATATTTAGATCACCTCTTACAACCATTAGTTATTAAAAACACTGCTTATCTAAAAGATACTATCCATATTCTACAAATTTTAGAAACTACCCCATGGCAAGACGGCAATCTATTAGTCACGTGTGACGTGACATCTTTATATACTATCATACCACATGAGAAGGGCCTAGAAGCAGTACAATATTTTTTTTTTAAAAAACACAATTTTAAGGAAGAACACATTTTATTTATTTTAGAAGGGATAAATTTAGTTTTAACCAACAACTTTTTCTGGTTTAATGAAGTGTTTTATCTACAGATCAGAGGTACGGCGATGGGTACCAAGTTCGCCCCCAGCTATGCAAATTTATTCATGGCATATTGGGAAGAACAGTTTATTTACCAAGGACATTCATGGGGGGCGAACTTGGTGAACTATCGCCGGTATATAGACGACATATTTTTTATTTGGACAGCATCACATACAGATTTACTTTCTTTTATCAGTTATCTTAACAACAACCAGTGGAACATTATTTTAACAGCACAGATTAGCACTCAACAGATCAACTTTTTAGATTTAGAGATATTCATAACACACGGTGCTATTACCACTAAGAACCATTTTAAGGAAGTTGATGCCAATAGCTATATTAGAAGAGAGAGTTGCCACCATACCCCTTGGTTAAGCAATGCTCCCAAGGGACAATTCCTACGTATAAGAAGGAATTGCACAAATGAACAAGATTTCTTGGAACAGGCAAATAAAATTAAAGTTCAATTCTTGGAAAAAGGATACAATGAGGCTTCCCTCCAATCAGCTATTAACGAGGTTCAAAAAACACAAAGGACAGACCTTTTAATATATAAACAGAAAAAGAAAGACTTAAATTGGAACCAAGACATCCCCTTTATATGCAATTACCATGGCAATAGTAGAAAAATTAATAAAGTTATAGCAAAGTATTGGCACATACTGAAAGATGACCCAATTCTTAAAAATCTATTGCCAGAAAAACCAAAAATAATTTTTAGAGGCGCAAAAAATTTAAGAAATACTTTAGTTCAAAGTAATAATAAAGAACAAACAATAGGTAAAACTTTTTTTGCAATGAGCAAAGGCTTTTATGGATGCGGGCAATGTCTAGCATGTAAGAATACCAAGAGTAAAAAGAGACATCTAATAGATTTAGAACCCGTTATTAACAAGAAATACACTATAAGAGATCATTTAACATGTCATTCGAAGGGAGTTATTTACATTTTAAAATGTCCATGTAATCTTTTATATGTAGGGCGCACAATTCGAAGCTTAAATATAAGGATAGCGGAACATGTAAGAAATATCAAAAATGGGGTAGAAACCCACAGTGTTTCGAATCATTTTAAACATGTTCACCAACAAGATCCAGAAGGAATGTTTTTTTGTGCATTACAACTAGTAAAAAAAGATTGGAGAGGGGGTGATTATGTGAACAAAATAGGAAAAGTAGAAATTAAGTTTATATTTAATTTTAATACTATGATTCCATATGGACTAAATAATGACTTTGAACTGTGCCACTTTATGCATCAATCTTAGCCTATTATACCTTTGTACCACTTTTACTATTTTATGGAAACATTTAAAAGTTTTTAGATACTATTTTTTATCTATTTGTTATTTTTATTATGGATCATTATATAATTTTCTTCCTTTTTTAATAATTGAGTATCAGGTTTTTTCTTTTGAATAGATTGTTTTTGTCTAGTTTAAAAAGGAACTAGATCTGCTTCTAAATGTGATATTCTGTCCCCTTAAGGTTGGGATAGGATAATCTTTCAATAATTTTTATAATTGATAGAATCTTTTTTACCTCCAATTGTTTATTAGATCATTATCTACATAGATTTTAAACATTTTTAACTTTTAAATGTTTTTCTCTCTTTTGTCATATACACAAATTGGGGTCCCTATTTGGTCTGATATAACATGGTTTTATATAACCTTCTTTTACCATATTTTTACAATGTTATGTTCATCTGTTTTATCCAATTATGATAGATGCTCTGTGCAAGATATATAGGTGGAACGCATATGCATATGCGTTCCAACCTCACTCTGCCTAACAGTGCTGAGTGGCTACCCGATGTGAATTTATGGTTGGAACGCACGTGCGTTCCATTTAGACGCGACCCGGAAGTGAATGCCAAGGGGCTGCCCCATGTTATCCACGGTTGGTGCGCACGTGCGTTCCATTTAGACGCGACCCGGAAGTGAACGCCGGGGTTGGAACCCACGTTGCGTTCCAACAAACGGAACCCGGAAGTAACACATAAAGAGGGCGAAACCGGCCAGCGGGATTTTCAAAAAGGAAAGAATATTAGAGGAGACATCAGAGCCAACTGAGGAAGCCTGTTAATCAGGCGAAACGCGTTTTGGACACTCATTTTTTAACCCATATTGGACTTCACCTATATCCAATATTTATTGGTTGGTATAGTGTATTGTTATTTTTTGTTATTTTATTACCTTTTTCTGTTATAATAAACAAATACCAATATTCAAAGATCTTCTGTGTATTGGGCACTTCTTGGAGACACTCTAAGGATCACAAGGGGGAACATCAAGAAAACAACGAAAGAAGGGTTTGGACAACCCCCCAATGGTCCAAGGGAGCATACTTTTAGAGTCATATGTCGGTATGACTCTAGTCTTGTGAGTTCAATCATCTTACCTCTATTATGCAATATACTGTATAGACATACTACGCTATCTGCATTTATTCTGTTTTACAGATTGTTCAAGACTCTTTACAGCTCCACCTATTATTTTGTATGTATTGTATTGTATTTATAGTGGTGTAAGGGATACCACTTTATAGGTGTTTTAGAGCTATTTATTTGTCTTTCACATCGTGTACACTATTGTTTTGTATCACTTACCATATAATGTTTCAAGCCCAGTCCTTAAAAATCATCCACACTGTTCTTATTTAACTCTTAACCCCTTAAGGACCAAACTTCTGGAATAAAAGGGAATCATGACATGTCACACATGTCATGTGTCCTTAAGGGGTTAAAAGGATCAAAATCTATGCAACCTTAACAATCTGGTCTTTAAGTTACATATTCCAAATGGTACATATTACTCTATTAACAAATCCAGGCTTTATTATATGCTGAAAGATAAATAAGAAGGTTATTTCTTGTAAGCATACAATTTTTAAGATTCCCCCTGGAACAATAAGGAAGGGGGGACATGACTGCTGCCCAAGATGGTGGGCAGGGTCAAGGAAGATACAATGTTGCTAAGGTTTCTTAAAGAAAGGGAGAGGGAGGGGACCAAACTTCTGGAATAAAAGGGAATCATGACATGTCACACATGTCATGTGTCCTTAAGGGGTTAAAAGGATCAAAATCTATGCAACCTTAACAATCTGGTCTTTAAGTTACATATTCCAAATGGTACATATTACTCTATTAACAAATCCAGGCTTTATTATATGCTGAAAGATAAATAAGAAGGTTATTTCTTGTAAGCATACAATTTTTAAGATTCCCCCAGGAACAATAAGGAAGGGGGAACATGACTGCTGCCCAAGATGGTGGGCAGGGTCAAGGAAGATACAATGTCGCTAAGGTTTCTTAAAGAAAGGGAGAGGGCTTGATCAGTTGAGGGCTCCTGACTGTTTTCCCACCCTCCCTCCCTGTTTCTGGTGTTGTGGCTTGTGTCTCGTGTTGTTGTTTTGTGTTGTCACAGCTTGGCGGTTTCCCTGGACAGCACAGAGGAAGAAAGGAACATTGGGGAGACGACAGCCGGCACGGAGCTGATGGCGAGGAGCTGGCTGTCGAGGCTCATGGTACCAAATGCATGTGAGAACTGACTGTTGGGCAAACACCCAACAGCTGGCAGATTTGGACTGAGCTAAATTGTTAATTTAAATAAAGCTGTGGCCGTTGCCCTTATCCACAAGAATGAGGTGTCCCGTGTATCATTGGGGTGCAACGGGTTGTTGGTGGGGACTGGTTGGGTCAGCAGTCAAGGGCAAGATTGTGATGGTGACAAACATTGCTATGTGGTCCTTAAGGTATAATTAGTAATTATATTATATATTATTTGATGTCAAATTTCCTACATCTGATAAACAATATCTGCCACTGCTTCTAATCTTTAAAAAAAAAAGTGAATTTAGTAAATCTTTCCCTAATAAAAGATGTTCTTAGCAGAAATATGTCATAAATTTGTAAGTATTTCTAAAGTATTAGCAGCATATGTTTCAATCTCTTTTGGATATTTAACTATACTTTCCTGATTATAATTTCCATGGCCTTCTGATCTCATGCCACTCCTACAGATCAAACATATATTTTTTACCAATTAAAGGACCACTATAGTGCCAGAAAAACATACTCGTTTTCCTAGCACTATAGTGCCATGAGTGTGCCCCCACCCGCCGGGTTCTGGGAAGAGGAAGGGGTTAAAATCTTACCTTTCTCCAGCGCCGGGCAGGGAGCTCTCCTCCTCCTTTCCTCCTCCATAGCGACGTCATCAGCTGAATGCGCATGCGCGTCAGGAGCCGCACGCGCATTCAGCCAGTTCATAGGAAAGCATTTACAATGCTTTCCTATGGACACTGGCGTCTTCTCACTGTGATTTTCACAGTGAGAAGCACACAAGCGCCTCTAGCGGCTGTCAAGAGACAGCCACTAGAGGCTGGATTAACCATATTATAAACAGTGCAGGTGCAGGTGAAGGTAGTTTTTACTTGACTTAAAAGGTCCTTTGTATGCATCTTCTTTCTCAAGGTCCTCTTCAGCTCCTGGAGCGTTAATCTGCCAGGAGCCAACGGAAGCGCTCTACTCAAGTGTATGCATTAGCTCTGTCTTTTGTCAAAAGTAGAAAAAATACTTAAGATAAAGTTGTTCCTGTTTGCTCTTAATTTGTGGGCGTCGCAGGGATGCTTTAAGTCAAAATTGAAAGTGCTCTATCATTCTTTCTATTCTACACCTCTAATCCTCAACATGGAAATTGTAGTTTGTAATAATAGAAAATATGTAGATTGTAATATGCTTTCTGGTTACGTTCTGGTGAGTTATAACTTAATTTTTTATTTTTACAGCTACCGAGGGAACGAGCAAACCGCCTTGAGGAGTCCCTGCATAAGAGACTAGTGGATACAGAAGGCTATACTAAAGGAAGATCTCATCACAGCATCATCCAAGCCCTAGTCAGGAGTATATGAGGCCTCTTAAGAGTAAAGAGCGGCTAACAATATCTGATAATAGGCCACATGTGCAATTATTATGTATGTAATTAATGTACAACATACTTTTTCACTTTTTTGTTACATTAGAAATTAACAAATATGGATAGACTTTTTGTTTACTGCTGCCTTAAAAAAATAATATTAAAACTCCAAACAATTTTGAAATGTGCAGTGAAATGTGTATCTGTAATCAACGTTAACCTGCTAATTATTGTGGGACAATGGAGAGCAACCCCAAACTGGTACTCTATCAAACAATCCAGGACTGTTAGGAAATATGGCTTTGTATCAAACTATGATAATTTATGGTGTACATGTCACTGTGCCTATGGAAAGTTTTGCTTATAACTGTGATGACTTTCAAAAGATAGCAATAAGGGGGCGTGGCTTAGCGGGCAACGCGGATGGACGCACGGGACTGAGCTCCGCTCCCAGCTAGCCCTAAAAGCGACAAAAAAAAAGCATTGCCTGCGGGAAAAAACGGAACCCCCGACTCACCCAACGATGTCCCACCCAAAGCACAAGAAGCAAGCGGAAAAATCCGACAGGTCGGAGTTCTTCGCGGTCCGAGCCTCGACACCGAAAGCTACAGGCCTGCTGGACCAGGCCCAAGATGGCGACGGAGGGAAAGATACACTGCCGCTAAGGACGCCCACGGGCTCCCACAACCTACCAGTCACGCAAGACTTTCTGCAGACATGCTTGGAGGATATGTCCAGCAAAATCCTGGCGTCCATCCAAAGCACCCTGAGGGAACTCAGCAAAGACGTGCAGGAGCTGGGGGACAGGACCGCGCGGGTGGAACAGCGCGTGGAGGAGCAGACATCTGCTCATAATGAGCTGGCAGACCAAGTGCACAACCTGCAGCAGCTACTGGACCAGTCCCAAAGGAAAATCATGGATCTGGAAGACCGCTCACGACGACAAAATCTGAGAATTAGAGGCATACCGGAGGAGGTGTCTCAACAAGATCTGCACCCCTTCCTCATGGAGTACTTCAAAGCACTGACCCCCGAGTTACCAGCGGAGATGCTGATCCTGGACAGGTACCACAGGGTCCAAAAGCCAGCGTTCCTGCCGCAAGACACACCAAGGGACGTGCTAACCCACCTCCACTACTTCCACGTAAAAGAGGCAATTCTCCAGGCCACGAGAGGGCAAAGAGATCTGCCACAAAAATTCACCCACATAAAAATTTTCACGGATCTGTCAGCGGCTACATTACAGAAAAGGAAAGAATTCAAAACGACCACAGAGGCCCTGCGCAACAATGGCGTCCAGTACCGGTGGGGATACCCGGTCTGCCTGCTGATCAGGAGGAATGGCACACTGACAACGGTCAACACGCCAGAGGAAGGCCACAAACTACTGCGCAGCTGGGGCATTCAACCAACCCAGGCAGGGGCAAAGGCTGCAGATCAGCGCAGACTGTCTCCGGAGTGGAAGAGGGACAAAAAATGATCCCACCAAGGGATTCCAAGCAAGAGATGGGACTTAACAGAGACTCCAGAGGGAGCAGTCGGACAATGGGCCGCAAGTATACCTGACACACATGACACGTACACTCAAACCCTATCACTCGTTGTACAACACACACAGCCACACCATTCACATGGCACATGTCAGTGCCCAGCACACTAAATAGAGACAGAGAGAGGAAAAAAAAAAAAAAACTCACTCACAACAACTTGATAGGAGCCCAGACCTATACACAGGCCTGTCTAGACGCTACACCCCAGACACGCTAGAACTCATACCCATCTCACCTTTCACCATTTAGCCGCAAACCACACGCAGGCAAAAAGAAAGCGAGTAATGGGCATAGCATGCTCACCTGGCTACACCGCACACATCACTCATCAGAGTTCACCACGTACCCCAATGGCACCATACAATGGGTGCCCCACCCTTCAGTGGGAAATGTTCAATTGTAATACTGTGATATTGTATGTTTTGTTTTATGTTGCACTGTTTACCCCAAAGGTCTTGCATAAGGTTAGCATGACTGCTTCCACCCTTGCACACCACCCCACCCTTCCCCCCACCACCAGACAGGTTGGAGACCACGTAGCACATATCCGAGATGGAGACCATAGGACCCAGGGAGGGGTAGCACACCAGACACTGACCCCCAAAGTCAAAAGCAAGATACTTCAACACCACACAACAAAATATGAAGATACACTGTCATAACGTAAAAGGTTTAAACACCCCAGTAAAACGATATTGCCTCATAAGAGATCTGCGCAGGGAATGCCCCGATGTAGTGTGCCTGCAGGAAACACACCTCAAAAAATCAATAACCCTAGCCCAGGCGCAGTACACAGCTCAATTCCATAGCACCTCCACGTCCAAAACGAAAGGGGTATCCATCCTCATCAGCAAGGATGTGTCCTTCAAACCGTTATACATATCCATAGACAAAGAAGGACGATATATTATCATTATATGCGAAATCAACAATTTAGAATATACGATAGTCAACCTATATGCACCCAACACACACCAGAGGAATTTCTTACATAAAGTCATCACACTAGTGCAATCGGTCCAGAGGGGCATTACTATATTATGTGGGGATTTCAATCACATACTGGACCCCAAATGGGATACCACAGTACAGCTAAACACCTCCAGATCAGCTACCCTCCAGAGGGAATGCAAACCACTAGTACGCTTGCTCAAAGAACACGATTACTACGACGCATGGAGATTGCAACACCCTGGGGAGAGGGACTACACCTTCCTCTCTCAAGTACATAACACTTACTCACGTATTGACGGGTACTATATAAAAGGTGCCCACCTCAACCACATCATGTCCTGCACGATAGGTACCATAACGTGGTCAGACCATGCCCCAATAACCTTAGTGCTATGCGACGCATATGACTACAAGCACCGAAGCCCGTGGAGATTAAATGAATCTCTACTGACAGACCGACAATACTGCGACACAGTCAAAGACGACCTCTCCAACTACTTTGACACGAACACAACTCCAGACATATCACCAGAAACACTGTGGCAGGCCCACAAACCAGTTGTAAGGGGACTCCTTATAGGGAAAGCAAGTGCAATAAAAAGGGCAACCCAAACAAAAAGAAAAGAATGGCTGACTACCCTCTACAATCTAACCAAACAGAACCAACTCACACCAACCCCACAGCTCCTAGAACAAATTAAACGAGTAATAGACGAAGGCAAAAAACATGACCTAGTAAAAATGGGGTTCACAATGCGGAAGCTTCAGGCAGCCCACTACACCCAGGGAAATAGAGCCAGCAAACTCTTAGCGAGGAGACTGTCGCAAAGGAACGCACAAACAAAAATCCCATTCATACTGAACTCAGAAGGGGAAAAAAGGGTTACACCCAAAGACATCAGCGACGTGTTTGCCGACTACTATACGACCCTGTACAACCTGGGTCGGGACCCCAATACCCCCCAACCGTCACAAACACGAATAGAACGATACCTGGAGGGTATCTCACTGCCGGGCCTTACTGAGGACCAGAGGGAGGGCCTACAAGCCCCTATCACAGAGGAAGAAGTGCTACAGGTAATAGCGAGCCTCCCCAAGGGGAAAGCACCAGGACCCGATGGGTTTACCAACGCGTACTATAAACGATTTGCTGCCACTCTTGCACCACACCTAACAAACACCTTTAATGCCATCACCCGAAAAGCAGAAGCCCCAGCAGACATGCTAGGAGCCCACATTATAACACTTCCCAAACCAGGCAAACCACCCACATGTAGTCAAAACTTCCGGCCAATATCCTTACTAAACACAGACACAAAAATCTACGCTAAAATACAGGCAAACAGGCTAAAACACATCATCCCTACACTGATACATGATGACCAGGTGGGCTTTACCACAGGTAGACAGGGATCAGACAACACGAGGAAAGTGATCGACCTCATACATAGCCTAAGGCAAAATCGGACGGAGGGTGTCTTACTCTCCTTGGACGCAGAAAAGGCCTTTGATCGCCTTAATTGGCCTTTTCTAGAAGCAGTGCTCCAAAAGTACGAGTTCCCTAGATCATTTATAAATGGGGTAAAAGCACTATACTCCCACCCCACAGCAAGGGTACTCAATGCAGGATTTGTGTCCAAACAAATCAACATAACGAATGGGTCCAGGCAGGGGTTCCCCCTGTCCCCACTATTATATATCCTGGCGCTGGAGCCCCTTGCAGCGGCGATGAGGGCAGAACCATCCATACAGGGCATCACAATAGGAGACAGGGAGTACAAGCTCAATCTATTTGCAGATGACATCCTAGTAACGCTCACACAGCCCCTAATCTCCCTGCCAAATTTGATGCTACACATAGAATCATATGGTGAAGTATCATATTACAAATTGAATGTCACCAAGACACAAGCATTGGGGATGCATCTAGGCACAAACCTCACGTCCAGACTGAGAGAGGCATTCCCCTTAGACTGGAGAAACGACCACCTAACCTTTCTGGGCCTCAAACTAACAAAAAACCCTGATAAATTATTCCACCACAACTATGTACGCATGCACAAAGAGTTCACAGACTCCATGCAAGCATGGAAGGGAAAATACCTGTCATGGACAGGACGCATAGCAGCAGTCAAAATGTCGCTAATACCAAAAATCCAATACCTTTTCCGTACGCTACAGATATCCCTACCAAAGCAATACCTCAAAAATATGCAGCACTCCATCAGTGCCTTCATTTGGGAGGGGAAAAAAGCAAGAGTGGCAGCAGGGACGTTACAGCAGACAGTCCGCAGGGGGGGGTTGGGCCTCCCGAACTTAACGGCTTACTATAGAGCAGCATACCTCCATAACATAACACAAATAAACCTCACCGCCAAGGCACCACAATGGGTAGCCATAGAAGCGCACTGGGCACCCAGAAGGGACCTACGAGCACTGATATGGCAAGGAAACTGCCCTAAGCACACCCGGGACAAACTCTTGCCCAGCACCCAGACCCTTCTACAAATATGGCACAAAATAAGAGATAAACTGGTGGCAAAACAAAAGCTTCCCATGGCCACACCAATCCAAACAGTAGGGCTGGACATCCCAACTTTCCCGTGGGAGACATGGGTGAAAGGGGGGATACACCATATATATCAGGTGATAGACAGGGGGCGACTGAAATCCCTACCGGCAATTCAGGAGGAATACACACTGCCCAATAAGGTCATATTCTCTTACATGCAACTAAAATCCTACGTCTCAAGTAAACTAGACGCCGAAGATAAATGGGACGATGAACTGAATATGACGAGACTTGAAAAACACTGTGTGGGCAAAAAGACACTGGGGAAAACCCTATCATGGGGATACCAGGAGCTAATAGCAACACGAACACAAACACTAGATAAGATCAAACAGGCGTGGCACCAAGAGCTAGGCCAGACGTTTCCAGAAGACACATGGGACCGGGTATATCTGGCGCACCAGGGACTCACAGCATGCCACACACACCTAGAACTACAATGCAAACTATTGTACCGCTGGTACTTAGTACCTGACAAACTCCAAAAGATGTGGCCAAACACTACCAACAAATGCTGGAGATGTGGGAGTGAGGTGGGGACCATGCTACATATCTGGTGGTCCTGCGCCACACTTAGCCCATTTTGGAAGGAGGTGACCCAACATTTACAAAAAATACATCCGACACCCAGGTTAGATAACCCACAAACATGCATCTTGTTTATGTTGCCCAAGGGCATTCCGAAGCACATTAGGACGATTCTCTATCACACCCTCATATCAGCAAACCTGATGATATCCAGGTTGTGGAAAAAAACAATAACCCCCACTATCCAGGATGTGATAAAACAGGTAGAACAAAACTGGGAGTACGAACTTATGACAGCGGCACAATTTGGGAAACGCACTCATATACTTGAGGCACACAAGACTTGGAAGGCTAGCACGACATCCGAGGTATGAGGGCGGGAAGCTGGAGATAAGCTATAACCACACTAGTGGGCAGAAAGCAAACCACCCATCAAGGCCCACAAAAGGTGGCGTCGCCAGCATATACTAGGTGTGCAAGCAAACGCCCCAGATTACATCATGCAACAGGTAGTGGGAGATACGCCAGGGACAACCTTTGTCAACCACATAACGGGGAAATGTAAATATACCTAGGAGCCCATGCACAACAGTCTAATGATATAATGGTATAAGAGTATAACTGTATAACCGTACAACTGTTTACACGCGAATGGTGATTAGCGGGGAAATATACATATATCTGGGAACCCACGTAAAAGTGGATAATTGTATAACTGTAAAATTGTATAACTGTATAATTGTATAACTGTATAATGGTATATTGGTATAATGGTATAACTGTCTACCTGCACAACTGCTTAAACACGAATGTTGATAACCTGTCTCCCCCCTCCCCCCCCACTTCCTTTCTGTACCCCCAAGTTCGCATACTCGAAAAAGTCAATAAAAAATTCAAATTCGAAAAAAAGATAGCAATAAGCAGAGTAAGAAGTTGCTCTTTAAAGGGACATTATAGGCACCAAGACCACTTCATCTCGTTGAAGTGGTTTGGATGCAGGGTCTATGTCCCCTTAACCCTGCAATGTGAAATATTGCAGTTTCTGAGGAACTGCAATAATTACCTTGCAAGGTTATCTCATCCTCTATTGGCTGTCCACCAGACAGGCACTAGAGGCGCTTCAGGTCCTTAGCAGAGACCAACTACATGAAATGACACTGGACATCCTCACGCTTTGCATGAGGACAACCAGTGTCTTTAAAAACGCTATAGAAAAGCCTTGAGTTAATGCTTTCCGATGTGGAAGCACAAATGTGTGCGCAGGAGGGACCTGATGTTGGCGGAGCCTGACCTAACAATCAGGTAACTGACAAAAAGGGTGAAGAGGGTGTTAGAAATACAGTTTGATATTCCTAGCACCATAGGTTTATTTTAAAACAAAGAGTCTTTACTCCATTTCTAAATTTATATAGGTTCCCAAAACATCACGCCAAAAAGGCACTCCAATCTGTGTTCAACAATAGAACCTGAGGTCTTTTTTGTGTTTTCGCCTCTGAAATCCACCATCTCATCCCCCTGCTGTAGAATTGCAGTGATGTCATACAATGGGACACAGCAAGTGCTGTTATTATTTATAGCTAAGTAACACAAATAGCATGTCAAGGTGTCAGCAATATACTTTATTTCTTCAAAGTTAATATGCAGTTTACACTTTATATGTATAGTGAAAAAAATATAAAAGTCAATGCGGAAACTGGCTAAAAAAAAGCAGAGTGTCGTATCCAACATGGAGAAAGTTCAATCACCGGTACAGAAAGGCTGTATGGCATTAGGAAGGCAGTATCTTTATAATATAATAGTCTCTCTATCTGGGCCGTCCAGGATTATTAATCACTGGTTGATGAAGGTTACTTCATGTCTTCAGCATGTGTTCCGAAGCAGTCATATGGAAGTTTTCTGTAGAAGAAGGTAATCTCTTCGGTTTCAGCAGGTCTAGGTTAATGGTGGTGGGTTTTTTCTCTGGCACTGGAACCAGTAAAGGAGTGTAAAATTGAGAGGATCACCTTGTTTTTCCCACAAATCTAAGAAAACTCAGAACAGAAGATTGAGGATAGTGGTTAACAACTTAATGAAACTGCAAACACTAAAACTAACTTGAAAAAAAATAACAACATTCACAGTGTAAGCAGTGTGTAGGTGGCACGGCCACAGTGTAAGCATTGTTTAGGTGATACGGTCACAGTGTAAGCAGTGTGTAGGTGGCACGGTCACAGTGTAAGCAGTGTATAGTCGATACGGTCACAGTATAAGGCAATGTTTATGTGATACGGTCACAGTATAAGGCAATGTTTATGTGATACGGTCACAGTATAAGCAGTGTTTAGGAGATACGGTCACAGTGTAAGCGGTGTGTAGGTGGCACGGTCACAGTGTAAGCAGTGTGTAGGTGGCATGATGACAGTATAAGCAGTGTTTAGGAGATACGGTCACAGTGTAAGCAGTGTTTAGGCGGCACGGTCACAGTGTAAGCAGTGTATAGGCGATACGGTCACAGTATAAGGCAATGTTTATGTGATACGGTCACACTATATAAGGCAATGTTTATGTGATACGGTCACACTATATAAGGCAATGTTTATGTTATACGGTCACAGTATAAGCAGTGTTAGGAGATACGGTCACAGTATAAGCAGTGTTTAGGAGATAGGGTGACAGTATAAGCAGTGTTTAGGAGATACGGTCACAGTGTAAGTAGTGTTTAGGCGGCACGGTCACAGTGTAAGCAGTGTATAGGCGATACGGTCACAGTATAAGGCAATGTTTATGTGATACGGTCACACTATATAAGGCAATGTTTATGTTATACGGTCACAGTATAAGCAGTGTTTAGGAGATACGGTCACAGTATAAGCAGTGTTTAGGAGATACGGTCACAGTGTGATCAGTGTTTAGGTGATACGGTCACAGTATAAGCAGTGTTTAGGAGATACAGTCACAGTATGAGCAGTGTTTAGGAGATACGGTCACAGAATAAGCAGTGTTTAGGTGATACAGGCGTTTAATTCTCCATAGTCATGGTATTTATGGTTACCTCATAAGTATTACAGTCACTCACATTGGTTGAATTGGCACATGGATACACATGTGAGCAGTAACGCCACGTCAAGGCTTCAACACTTGTTACTGACCACTCACACACACCATACTTTTCATTCATACGCATTCGGTATTCCAGATGTTTTGGACCACACCTTCCATAATGCTTTGCCAGCATTATGGAAGGTGTAATTCACAGCATCTGGACTGCCCAAGGTTACCTACCTCTGAACTAGGCCGTGATCACAGTACACAATGTTGAAGTTGCTGTGCAAACAGGAGCAGCTTGTCACGTGTCAGATGCCACTTCATTACTTATAAATTCAATTCTCCACCCTGGAGACGAGCCTCAAACATGGGCTTCCTTATTCCACTTCATGTACTTCGTGTCCCTTAGGAGAACATGCTTGTCAGAGTTGTGACACACACAAAAACAAATAAAAAACTGGTTAGAGTAACTGGCATAACAGACACAGTGCATGCAAACTTGCGTGCCACATGCATACAGCAGACAGACACAAAGATTGTGGGAGACACACCGGATTAAATATAAGAATTGGGAGTACCATACATACAGAATGGACAAAGAGATGGAGATTACTGAATTTGGTGACCGACGGATTTGGTTGCAGATGTGGGGCAGTCCGCTGCTCGATGTGAAATTTCCCTACCTAGTAATTGTGTGCTTGCGCGGCGGCGCAACCCCCGTCCTAGAGCTGTTCCTCGTCACTTCCGGTGCGGCTGCGTCACCGGAAGTGACGAGGGTAGGGATTTTTCACGGGGTAGGGTTTTTTGATAGAACACCAGGACAGATCACATGCTGCTTGGTAATTGGTTCTGTTTGCAGTGGGAGCGGGTTTTTTATCAGATTCAAATAAATAACTGTAATTTTAGATCAAAGGTGCCATTTTAATTAATCCTTACTTACCTTCCCTCATTTGTTTGGGGTTTGTTAATTCTTTCTCCCGTTTGGTTATGGTGGCGGGGGGTTGGATAGGTCAATTGGGAGGGGTAGAACGGATTGTTAAATTTCTTGGATTAGTGGTAGCCATTAACAGTAGCAATATGGATACCAGTCAAAATCCACATGCTGAATTGCAGATAGCAGATCCCATAGAGTATAATGGATACCGTTGAGCACTTCCCTCTATTCTCCCTATAAAACCAAGCATTCTGCTATCAGAATGCCTGTTTCAAATTGGTTTTGTTAGATTGGAGCTCATTGGTGGCTTACAACCTAGGGGTGTAGGGGTATCCGGGTATACCCCAATACTGTTATAAGTTGTTGTTTGTTGTGGCCATGTTATGTATTATTATGTCATTTATTGTATGGTTATATTTATACTTACTTATTATTTAGTGTTGGGGTTATTGTCAGTGTGTATAGTGCTGTTAAGGGATTGGAAAGATTTATGTGGCAATGTTAAGTGGGATGTTTGACAATGAACTTTATTGTTTATAAATTTTTAATAAAACTGTGAAATTAATTTTCAAAGACAATTTTTGTGTCCGTGTCTTTATGGAATATCTGGTAACGGTTTTGATAAGTGCCAATAGGAACAATATGCGCCTGTCAAGACATGACCAGTATACTGCAGAACAGAAAGAAAATTATTTTGCACAAAAACAAAACACCCCATTTTGTAAATAAAGGAAGACAAATATAATCAGAGCTTAATTAAGTAGAATATCTAAGTGTAGTGTATCTTGTTGATATTACAACAACAAAAAAAAGAAAGAGGCATGAAACTGAAAATCTAATAAATTAAACCGGATGATTCTTATAGAGAAACTTGCCACAGGTGATGATTTATCAGCCCACTTCAACATTAGGCAGAAAATTCACTATAAATGACAAAGTCCCAGAAGAGCTTTCCATATAGAGAAGAGCCCAGAGTAATTCACTGCACTAACCCAACAGCACTTCACAATCTGGCATCAGGTGCCTACAGATCCGGCCATTCTGAATGCTAAAATGGGAATCCAAGGCAGGTGCCACCAGACCTACCCATCATCAACCGAGGACCCTCCAGGATTGCAGACTATAATGTGGAGGTTTCCCCCTAAAGAACATTTCACAGATGCTCCATCAGCCTAGTTAAGTGGCAGTAGGATTTGGCTTGAGTACCTGTTGAAAGTAATTGGGGGATCAAGAGCCCTCAGCTTTATGCTGGACCTGTTTCAAGATGTAAGGGTGAAGTTTTAATTTTGCCCAAAATTGGGGGCAAAGATTATTGAAAGCCTTAGTGAACATGTCCACCAAGAAAGCTAACAAAAGGGACAGTTGCTGAAGGGCCGGTGTGGCAGCCGTTTTAAGTGTAAGCCTTGAAAGTATCGTAATGCAGGGTAAGCAGAATCTCTCTGTCTAGATAACGATATGCCACTCCAGTGGCAACCAAAAGGGGGGAAACAGGAATACTCACAATCCTGAAGCTGTAGAAGAATTGGCTGTGTAGGCCAATATGCCTCAGCCAGCGATGTCCAGTAAATCTCCCATTAAATCTGTAATTATTCTAAACCAATTGGTGTCCTTGTAAGTATCAGGATAATCACTGTGGATATCAATACATCTTCAGATATATGCTTAGTTTCAAAATTGTAGCTCAGAAGCTCATTCAGCTAGCAGTTTGCTAGATCAGCAGCCAAGAGTCGACCCGTTCAATCACATTTAAATTAATCTGTGAACCTTGCATATATTGTATATAAATGTAAAGGTGCCTTCTAGTGATCTTCCTGTATGGCAACTCATCACTACTATGTTCTAATATACATGTGTTACAAAATAAAATATTTGCCTGGGGTGCTTTATTCCATATTCAGCTATATAAAATTGCATAGTATTTGTCCATGGTTTTTTATCCCTCACATTCCACCTCTGGCACTCAAATGGTTAATAAGGGATGCATAAATGTAACACTACTTTTCGCAGAAAATAATCCCCCCTTACCCTCCCCTTGAACAAATCTGATACACACTAAAAAATTTAAAGGGACACTATAGTCACCAGAACAACTACAGCTTATTGAATTTATTCTGGTGAGTAGAATCATTACCTTCAGCCTTTTTGCTGTAAACACTGTCTTTTCAGAGAAAATGCAGTGTTTACATTACAGCCTAGTGATAACTTCACTGGTCACTCCTCAGATAGCTGCTAGAGATCCTTCCTGGGCCATGGCTGCCTAAAATGCATCCAAACATCCTCCCTCTGCAGACACTGAACTTTCCTCATAGAGATGCATTGATTCAATTCATCTCTATGAGGAGATGCTGATTGGTCAGGGCTGTTTTTAAAACATGCTGGCTCTGCCCCTGATCTGCCTCTTTGTCAGTCTCAGCCAATCCTATGGGGAAGCATTGTGATTGCATCAGGCTACCACTTCTGCTGATGTCAGCAGGCAATGGGCAGATCAAAAGGAAACAGTGACAAAGCCAGCAGCTTCAGGCTTGAATACAAGTAAGATTCACTATATTTAGGAAGACATGAGGGGACCAGGGTGGCTAGATGGTAGTTTTAACCCTATAGGGTCAGAAATACATGTTTGTGTTCCTGACCATATAGTGCTCCTTTAAGAAATCATTTGAACCAAATCTGATGTACTTTTTATCTTGTACTTTTTATAACACTTTCCTTCATACCTTTTTGTGCAAGCAAATCTAGAAGTAATACTGTACTTTTCCATGTAAGACACCCCCATGTGTAAGATGACCCCTATTTTTTGAGCCCAGAATTAAGAAATAAAGGAGGAGAACTACACACTTCTGATTCTTATGTCTCCCCTGTGCTAAGGTACTCTGGGAAGTTAATGACTCCATAGTACATGCTAGGAGACTACAACTCGCATAATACAGCAGGTGGTGTAAAGGCATGCTGGGACATCACGTCACTATTCCCTCTGCTCCCTGATCCACATTTCCTCCTTCATAAATATAAATCTGAAAGCAAGACCTACCTGAGGTGGAGCATACCTTAATATGGCTGCTCCTTTTATGGTGTGGCATGTCTCTGGAGCTCCGTTGGTGGCAAGTGCTGACGTTTGCTGCGGCTCCCACGCATATAGGTATCTCTTTCCCCTTGCCACAGCATTCAGAAGTGGATCACATGATAATAAAGACCTGCTCCCACTGTGGGGCTGCGGAGCTGGCAGGCCAAGTAAGTGAGTCGGTGGTAGAGAGACCAGGTATGTGTGTGGGCCGTGGAACACTAAAACGCAATAGGCGCCATCTCGGCTTAGGCCCCGTGTAAAAGTGGTTTTTTTTTTACTCTTGCAGTGAAATTCCGTGTATAAGACGACCCCCAATTTTAGACTAAAATTAAAAAAAAACATATTGTACAAAATGTACACAAAATATGGTACATATATTTATCCAGTGCATGTGTGCAGTTTGCTACAATTTTTATTATATCAGGTTACAATATACATTTATGTTTTTAAAATATAATAGCTATCCTATTTTGACTCAAGACACACGTTCAGCAAAAGAAAATGTAAATTTTTCTTCTTTTCTAATGTTTGTCCAAATTGGAAAATCATTCTTAACTAAAAGGAAAGAAACACATCAGAATTCTTACTGTATTGTCCACTGGTGGTTTGAAAAAATGATTAGTAGAACTTATTATTGAAAATTCCACAGTTGTTGCCATGGCATGAAGGCAGATATTACTTTGTTTCTTGAAGTTCAAATCTATTCCACAACAGTGGATTTATCTCCTTTGAGAGAGAAAAAAAAATGTTATTTATTGCCTGAGATCCCTGGGAAATGGGATTGTGCTAACATTTTTTTTTTTGCAGGATGACTGAAATGCTATTGTATAGCTTCTAAAATTTTAGTTTCCACTGCAATAATCATAAATTCACTCCCACGAAAGTATTCGTTATTTTGGAAATCATGCACTTGCTTTTAACTCTTTTCATGCAAAATAAATTCAACCAACTCAGCCATAATATGCTTCTACAGATATATTTAAATAACAAAGTATAAATCACAGAAGCCTCGATCACAATCTCACATTTAATAATCATTGAAATCTCAGTGGCTGCTGATGAGCTCTTAATATTATGGACACAATAACACTTACACCTTTACAAGATTATAATATATAATATTTAAACATTAGATATATTTCGCTGGTTTTATTAGAAGAAGATGAGGACTTACAAGAATGGTATATATTTAGAGTTGAGCGGACACCTGGATGTTTGGGTTCGGCCGAACTTCGGAAAAAAGTCCGGGTTCGGGATCGAACTTGACCCCGAATTTGACCCCGAACCCTATTGAAGTCAATGGGGACCCAAACTTTTGGAGATAAAAATGGCTCTAAAAAGTCCTGGAAAGGGCTAGATGGCTGCAAAAGGAAATAAAATGGGGGTAAGAGTAGGATAAGTGCCCTGCAAACAAATGTGGATAGGGAAATCACTTAAAATAACATAAAATACATAAAAATTAAAAATACAGCTGAGCCATAAAATAGCACCAGATGGAATCTTTGATTTTAGCTTTGGAAGAACATAAATCAAAATCTAAAGCATGGCTGTCAGGAGGATCACCAGAATTATCCATTTGAGAGAGGGTTGGAGTGCAGGGTATTCTGTTTCATTGTTCAAACTGAGCTCAACTCCTGATGCATGGAGAAAAGGCCTTCACAAGCCTCTGCTATTGTGTACATAGTTTATACTAAGTGACCCAGGTTGAGGAGGCGGGTAGGAGGGTACTTCCTCTTTCTCTCCAGTGTTTGGGAGATGGACAGATGAATGCTTCCATGGGACAGTGTGGAGATGCTTGGGACGGTGGCTGATGTGGTTGCGTTGCTGCCACATCCTCTGTTTGCCAGGTGGCAGGTGCCACTGTCATTCCATAGGTGGACAGCCGCAGAAGAGGAAGCAGGAGGAGCCTGATACCTCTCTTGGTTTTCGAGGTGCTTACTCCACTGCAGCTCGTGCTTTGCATGTGGATGCCTGGTCATGCAGGTTTTGCTCAGGTTTAGAATGTTTATGCCTCACTTCAGGCTCTGATTGCACAGCGTGCAAACAACTAGTGTCTTGTCGTCAGCACATTGTCTGAAGAACTGCCACGCCAGGGAATTCCTTGGAGCTAGCTTTGGTGTGCTTGGTGGGCAGTAGCAGGTGTATTGTCTAGGGGACAGCCGCTCCACTTTTGCACCCTGCTCTAAGAGGAGGAGGTGGATGTGGAGTAGCAGGTTGAGGTGCGGTGACCGTGGTGGTGTAGGTGGAAGCGGCAGTGGAGGCGGAGGAGGAGGCCAACACTGTTTTTTATTTGTTTTTTGTTTTTTTTTTGTTTTTTTAATTGGGATAGCCCCTGAAATATTGGGACATTTTAAAAAAGAAACATTTGCGGCCTGCGGTGCATTTCTTGCAGTCCAGTAACGCCATCAGGTTTTTAAAACTGTCCGTCTCCACCAGACAGAATGACAGCATTTCAAAGGCCAGGAATTTTGAAATGCTGGCATTCAGGGCCAGGGATCACGGGGGGTAGGTGGGGTACTTTCTCTTTCTCTCCAGTGTTTGGGAGATGGACAGCTGAACGCTTCCATGGGACAGTATGGAGATGTGGACAATTGTGTACCTGGCCTATGCTGGTGCAGGAATCCACCATCCGAGCCACTTGTGAATGACTGGCCTGATAACCGTGGAAATGACCCCTCTTCTTCCTCCTCTTCCTCCTGTGCCACATCCTCTTCCATCATCGCCCAAAGCATGACATAGCGTGACATTTTCAAGGAGACATAGAAGCGGGATAGTAAGGCTAAGAACGGCATCATCGGCACTGGCCATGTTGGTGGAATCCTCAAAACAGCGCAACATGGCACAGAGGTCTTGCATGGAGGCCCACTCATTGGTGGTGAAGTGGTGCTGTTCCGCAGAGCGACTGACCCATGCGTGCTGCAGCTGAAACTCTGCTATAGCCTGCTGCTGCTCGCACAGTCTCTCCAGCATGTGCAAGGTGGAGTTCCACCTTGTGTGCACGTCGCATATGAGGCGGTGAGCGGGAAGGCGGAAGTTACGCTGCAGCGCAGACAGACGAGCAGCAGCAGGGTGAGAACGCCAAAAGTGCGCACAGACGGCCCTGCACTTTCTGCAGCAGCTCTGATATATCTGGGTATACACCGTGGCAGTGTAGGTGGAAGTGGCAGCGGTGGAGTAGGAGGAGGTAGCCAACACTGTTTTTTATTTATTTGTATTTTTTTTAATTGGGGTTGCCCCAAAATATTGGGACATATAAAAAAAGAAAAAAAAGAATAAGTGCACTTGAGTATAACAATTGCTGGGTGAGGCCTGTATAAATGTCTATTCTGCACAAGGTACAGACAAGTCTGGTGGGATCCATACCTGGTTCATTTTAATAAACGTGAGCTTGTGTGATAACCAATCACACGACCCCGTGACGGCGACAACACATTTGGATGTCTGCCCTATCAACTTTCAATGCTATTTTCCGCGCCTACCATGGTGACCACGGGTAACGGGGAATCAGGGTTCGATTCCAGAGAGAGAGCCTGAGAAACGGCTACCACATGCGAGGAAGGCAGCAGGCGCGCAAATTACACACTCCTGACGCGGGGAGGTAGTGACGACAAATAACAATACACTACTCTTTCGAGGCCCTGTAATTGTAATTAGTCCACTTTAAATCCTTTAACTTGGATCAATTGGAGGGCAAGTCTAGTGCAGAGCGACTGACCCGTGCATGCTGCAGCTGAAACTCCACTATTGCCTGCTGCTGCTCGCTGAAGCTGCATCAGGGTCCTGGAATGTGGCCGCCCAAATGCTGCTGCTCAACACCATGGGGCGTGCAGTTACCCTGCACCAGACCCTGCTAATCCATTCCACACTGTGACTCCTAACTTCAACATCAGGCATACTGAGTCCCGGTCGTCCGACCGCCGCCCAGACAGTGTCTGGGTCCCTGTCATTAGACTGCCACCCTGACTGTGAAATTGCGAATGGCTCGTTAAACCTGTTATGGTTCCTTTTATCGCTCGATCTGTTACTTGGATAACTGTGGGAATTCTGGAGATAATACATGCCGACGAGCGCTAGGGCACGGCCGCTCCGCTTTTGCACTCTGCTCCCTCTTATGCTGTGCTGGTGCCTCTGTGCGACCAGCGCCTCTTCCTCCAAATTGCACGCGTCACTCGCATGACCTTTATTCCACGTTGTTTTGGTGTTTGGTTCTTAACTTTGTAGTTGTGTCTTTACACAATATAGAAATATATATTAATGCTTCTGTATATGAAGCAATCACAATAACACTTATTTTTCACTTTTTTAAAAAGTATTTAGACTTTCTTGAGAAGCGGTAACTAGCCAGTGTTGCACACATACACCAGATATGAAATTTTAAAAATGTGCTGTAACCACAGTATTTGACGGTTCTATTTGACTCTCAGATGTGAAGTGCAGGCCACAAATGTACTATTTAGCACCTAAAGAATTTAAATGTTTAAAAATGCGCTGTAACCACAGTATTTGACGGCTCTATTTGACTCTCTGATATGAAGTGCAGGCCCCAAATTTACTATTTAGCACCTAAAGAATTTGAAATTTTAAAATTGCTATGTCACAACAGTATTTGACGGTTCTATTTGACTCACAGATATGAAGTGCACCGCAGGCCGCCAATGTACTATTTAGTAGCAAAAGAATTTGAATGTTTAAAAATGCGCTGTAACCACAGTATTTGATGGTTCTATTTGGCTCTCAGATATGAACTGCACCGCAGGCCGCAAATGTACTATATAGCAGCAAAAAAAATTTGAATTTTTTAAACTGCGCTGTAAGCACAGAATTTGACGGTTCTATTTGACTCTCAGATATGAAGTGCAGGCACCAAATTGACTTTTTAGCACCTAAAGAATTTGAATGTTTAAAACTGCAATGTAAGCACAGTATTTGACGGCTCTATTTTACTCTCAGATTTGAAGTACAGGTACCAAATTGACTGTTTAGCACCTAAAGAATTTGAATTTTTAAAACTGCACTGTAAGCACAGTATTTGACGGTTCTATTTGACTCTCAGATATGAAGTGCACCGCAGGCCGCAAATGTACTATTTAGCACCAAAAAGTTTGTTTTTTTAAACCAACAATGTAACAGTAGTATTTAAGGGTTTTATTGGACTGCAAGAAATGCAGTACGCAAATGTACTATTTAGCACCCCAAAAAAATTGCAGTATTTAAAAATGCCTAGATGTTGCCCACTGAGCTACTAGAACAGGATTAAAGTAATGTGCCTGGCACACATGCAGGGCCGGACTGGCCCACCGGGATACCGGGAAATTTCCCGGTGGGCCGCGGCACCTGGGGGCCGGCCGCGTTCCTGGGCCGGCCCTTTAAATACTGCAGCCGCCCGAGCGCTCTGTTAAGAGCGCTCGGGCGGGTTAGAAGCCCTCCCTCCCCCAGAAGGTGTAGCTGCACCATGGGAGCCGTCGGGAGGGGATAGGAAGGTGGGGACACTGAGTGTAAGCATCTCTGTCAGTCCGGGAAGAGGAAACAGAAATTCTGTTCCGGAAGCTGAGTTTCTGTTTCAGTCACCGTCGGACTGATAGGGAAGTGCACACTGAGGTGCACCCAACCACCGCCGGCCACCCGACCGGAGGCAGCCCGGCCAACGCCACAGGAGGGGGGCAAGAATAGGGGGGGTAAGAAGAGGGGAGGGTGGGACAAAAGAGGGAGGGGGAACAAAAGAGGGGAGGGGGGGAATAAGACGAGGGGGGGAACAAAAAGAGGGAGGGGGGAACAAGAAGAGGGGGAGGGAGGGGGGAACAAGATGAGGGGAGGGGAAGGGGAACAAGAAGAGGGGGAGGGGGAACAAGAAGAGGGGAGGAGGGGAACAAGAAGAGGGAGGAGGGGAATAAGAAGAGGGAAGGGGGGGAATAAAAAGAGGGAAGGGGGGGAATAAAAAGAGGGAAGGGGGAATAAAAAGAGGGGAGGAGGGGAATAAAAAGAGGGGAGGGGGGTAAGAAGAAGAAGGGGTTAGTAAGAAAAAGATGGAATAAGAAGAGGAGGGAGTAAGAAAAAGAGGGGGAATAAGAAAAGGGGGAGGGGGGAGTAAGAAGGAGGGGAGATAAGAAAAAGAGGAGGGCAAGAAGAGGGGAGGGGAACAACAAAAGAGGGGAGGGAGGGATAAGATGAGGGGAGGGGGGTCAAGAAGAGGGGAGGGAGGGATAAGACGAGGGGAGGGGGGAACAAGAAGAGTGGAGGGGAGGAACAAAAGAGGGAGGGAGGAACAAAAGAGGGGAGGGGGCGGGAATAAGATGAGGGAGGGGGGGGACAAGAAGAGGGGAGGAGGGAGGGACAAGATGAGGGGAGGGGGGGGGAAATATGAAGAGGGAGGAGGAACAAAGAGGGGAGGGGAGGGAACAAAAAGAGGGAGGGGGGGAACAAGATGAGGGGAGGGGGGGGAAATGGGGGCAAGAAGAGGGAGGGAGGACAAGAAGAGGGGGGGAACAAAAAAGAGGGAGGAGGGGAACAAGACGAGGGGGAACAAGAAGAGTGGAGGGCGCTGAACAAGAAGAGGGGAGGGGGACAAGAAGAGGGAGGGGGGAATAAAAAGAGGGGAGGGGGGAATAAGAAGAAGGGAGGGGGAATAAGATGAGGGGAGGGAGGGATAAGAAGAGGGGAGGGAGGGAATAAGAAGAGGGGAGGGATGGATAAGAAGAGGGGAGGGAGGGAATAAAAAGAGGGGGGAATAAGATGAGGGGAGGGAGGGGAATAAGAAGAGGGGAGGGGGGAATAAGAAGAGGGGAGGGATGGATAAGAAGAGGGGAGGGAGGGAATAAAAAGAGGGGGGGGGATAAGATGAGGGGAGGGAGGGGAATAAGAAGAGGGGAGGGGTGAATAAGAAGAGGGGAGGGATGGATAAGAAGAGGGGAGGGGGGAATAAGAAGAGGGGAGGGGGGGAATAAGAAGAAGGGGCAGCTCTATAGGACAGGGGCCAAGACAGGGAGCTCTTTCACACTACGCGCGCACACACACACAATGCATCCCTATACATACACAGAAACACAACATGCTTCCCTTACACACAGAGAAACACACAATGCATCCATTACACACACACACACAATGCAACCCTTACACACAAAGACAATGCATCCTTTGCACACATACACAGAAACAGACAATGCAAACCCGTACACACGCATGCAAACACACACACTTCTTTTCTTACATACACACAGAAACACAATGCATCTCATGCACACACATACAGACACACACCTTGCATCCCTTATGCATACAAACACAGATTCACACAATGCATCCCTTACACACAACCAGAAACACATAATACATCCCTTATACACAAATACACACTGCTTCCACTACACACAAACACACTGCATCACCTGCACAAACTGGTAACCCTAAACACTACATACCATAAGCACACATATTAGATCCTCTACAATAACACATAACACATCCCCTACACACTCCACTCCCTGTGAGCGAACTCATGGGTGGGTGGAACTTATGAGTGGGCCTTATGGGCATACTCACCGTCAGGCCCTGGGGCCCAGACCTTGAGCTGTGTAAGGCGCCCCCAAAAAATTGAGCTGCTTCCAATTCTCCCAGAACATTGAATTTTGTGACCACAGTTGCAAACAGCCTCCAGAGATCCTGTTCTACTCCAGACCAGTGGAGCCAAACTGCAGCCCATCATCATCCTCATCTGCTTGTAAGTAGGCAATCTAGTATATTATTAGTGACACTAATCTATAATTTACCTCACATTAAAGGGACACTATAGCTTAATGAAGTGGTTCTGGTGTCTATAGCTGGTCCCTGCAGGCTTTTTAATGTAAACACACACTGTGTGCAGCACTGGCGTTAGTTCATATGGCAGATCATATGGGTGGGGCATTGTGATGTGACATGTGGGGGCAGCAAATTTTTATTTTGTCTAGGGCGGCAAAAATCCTTGCACCTTCTCTGATCCTGGGCAGGTGCACCAGTCTACTTGACTGGTTTTGCCCCCCAGGCCTAAGGCTGCCAGCCCTCCCCTGGCCGCTGGGGAGGTCTTTTGGCGGCCGCTGGCGGACTTGTCCTGGCGGCCGCTGAGGGAGCTGCGCGAGCTGCGCTGGCTCTGCTCCCCAGCACGCAGCTGAATGAGACCGGCGCCGGAATATGACGTCATATTCCGGCGCCAGTCTCATTCAGCAGCGCGCGAGGGCGGGAGGGCACTAACACAGGAAGCACCTCTAGTGACCGTCTGAGTGACTGTCACTAGCAGTGTCACTTTGAAGCAATGTAAACACTGCCTTTTGTCTGAAAAGTCAGTGTTTACGTTGAAATGCCTGTAGGGACATGCTATAGACACCAGTACCACCACATTAAGCTGTGTGTGTGCGTCTGCTAGTGAGTGAGCTTGCTTGCATGCGTGTGCCTGCTAGTGAGTGAGCTTGTGTTTTTATGTCAATGAGCTGAAGTATATCAGTAAGATTGTTTGTCTATGAGGCTGTGTATCAATGAGCTTGTGTGTGTCACTGAAATGTCAGTGAAATTGCCTGTGTCTGCATGTGCGTATGCTTACTGTATAATTAAACGTTTTACCCTGAAAGGACCAATATTTTATATTAGAAAAAGCAAAATATATATATATATATATATATATATATATATATATTACTCAATCATCTGTCCTGGCAAGACATAGCCTTACATATTACACGCGACAATATATGGCGCCGTGACTTATGGGGCTGGCACAAATTTTTTTTCCAGGGCTGCTTTGTATCCCCAGTCCGGCCCTGCACACATGCAGTTGCAAGTGCACTGCACTCTCTGTGGCACTGGGCTCAGGGCAGGGTACAAAAATGTAGTATTATAGCACCCACAAAAATAATCGCTGTAGTTTGAATAATCGCTGTAGTTTGCAGATTCAACACCAGAATTCTTTCCTAATCTGTCCCTAACAGCTGCAGCATCCTCCCCCTACACTAATAAGAGCTCATGTGCGTGCGGCGCTACGCGACTCCAGCTTATATATAGAGGCTGGGTCACATGCTGCACTGGCCAATCACAGCCATGCCATTAGTAGGCATGGCTGTGATGGTTTTTTAGGGCAGACAAGTCAAACGCTTGTTGATTGGCTGAGTTGCAGCCTTTTAAAATGCGCGAACACCGAACTCCAACCCGAACGTACACTGATTTGTCCGTGTTCGGGTCCGGGGTCCAAAAAAACATAATGTTCGTTTCGAACCCGAACTTTACAGTCTGGATTCGCTCAACTCACTCTCTCTCTCTCTCTCGATATTCAATTTTTTGACACTGCACGAAAAAATACATATGAAGAAATACATAAGTGTTTTAGATCGACTTTCTTCAATGTAGCCACGGTTGTCTAAAGTAGCTGCTCAATGATGAGCAATAGATGCTAATGAGGATTTGTAACCCCGGTTTTATAAAGGAAATTAAAACATACAAACATTTCAGGCTCTGTGCCTCTTTATTCTTTATAATGGGTGCTTTATACATAGATAAATGGTATTGAGCTCAAAACATTTTTATGTTTTTATGTCCACAGCAGCAATATCTCTCTTCCTGAAGCCCCATTATTATAATTATAAGAGGGACAGAGAAGAAGGGAAGTGAAGAAGTGAACCAGTGAGGGAGGAAAAGAAAAGAATAGAACTAGTGAGTGAAGGGGAGAGGTGACAGAAGAGGAGGACAACTGATTGAAAAGGAAGATTAGAGGGAAACTAGTGATGGATGGGGAGAGAAAAGAGGAAAACAATTGTGTGAAGCCGGAGAACAGAAGAGTGGACCTGGTAATTTAAGAGGGATATAAAAAGGGTACAAGTGAGGGCACAAGAGGGAAAAAAGTAATGGAAAGGGGAACAAGAAGAGGTAAACAATTGGAGAAATAGAGGGTTATGGGAAGAGGAACTTAATGAGGGAAAGGGGGAGAGGAACACATTTGAGGAAGAGATAAAACAAAAATAGAGGGGGATAGAGAGAGATAAAGTGGGAAATATGGAAACTGGAAACACAGTGTTCAAACACACCTTTTAATTACACAAGACTACCTATACATGCACACTAACACTTCACACGAATATTCTTCTGCATGTGCACACTGGAACTCTATAAAAAAAAAAAAAAACACTAAATTCACAAACTAGCACTCCACACAAATACACTCATCATTCACATGCATTCACTAACATTCCACACAAATATGCTCCTACGTACACAGTGTCATTCAACCACCCAGCCACCCACATACTCCAACCCATACTCCAAACCAACCATATCCACCCAATCAGATAGTCCCATCTCACCTATCAGTTATACCCACACACCCTGTCACCTTCACACACTTGTCCACATAACATGTTACCTACCCCCACCCATGTTATACTTATTGCCCTCCAACCACACACATAGCTATATTCATCATAGAGTCATACCGAAACTATTAACATTCATCCATCCAATCACATATTCCAAACTAGTCACATTCATCCATCCAATCATATACATCAAGCTTCATATTTATGACAGGCTGATGTGCATTGAGAAAACTGGCCTTGGGGCAATAGGCAGGGTTAATCCAACCCTGAATACAGTGAAGTGTATTCGCAATTTGACTGAAACCAAATGCACAAATCGAATGAAAAATTAGATTGTCAATTGTCATTATGTGCATCATTATGTGCATTATGCCAAAAAAATCAACAAACAGATTATGCTACTTTTTAGAATGCTGACAAATAGACTTTAAAAGTATGCATCCCTCACTTCAGAAGTACCTGAAATGAGAATGGATGTAGTGGGGTAACTTTTCATTAACAATTAACTCATCTAGCAGCTCTATTGCCATCAAAATGGATATATCCCAATCCCAATAAGCATGACAATCTAATGGCTTGTACATCAGTTAAGCTGCATCATCTACCATCTATGCAGCATTTGTTCATTACAAAAAGTAAAAATGTAGGGCCCCTTTTTACTGAACCGATAAAAGACAAAAGTGTGGTTGAAAAATATTCAGTGAGCAGTGAAATTTTGATTTGCATTGATTTTGTTAACAGCTCGACATCAATAATTATCTAAATTTAGATGGTAATCAACCCTGAAATGATTCAATAGAATTTTCCAATCAAGAAAACAACTGTAAAAATGCTACAATTAAATATTGTTTGATTTTTCAAGTCAGACCACACACCTACAGTGCTAACTTTGGACCCAATTCACATACCTAGCTCTATGCCGTTGTAACTGCTTATTTTTATTACATTTTGTAAAGGTTACATCTACATTATGGAGAAACTAATTCCCAGTCCTATTTATTGCATCTCTCTCTGCACAGCACACAGGACAGAATGTAAGTGTCTACTTACATTCATTTAAATTTAGAAACAGTTCCTATCAGGTTTGCCAAATATCTCTATTAATTCTACTTCAGCTTTAATATTGCTCTCTTTGGAATCGTATTTTTGTAAAGTGATATTTTGAAAGCATTTGCCAACATAATTAACATCCAAATAAATTGCTGTCATTTAGCCATACCTGACTGAAAGTGGTGGCAACACAGTTCACATCTTTACAATATGTGCTCAGAACCCCTCTAAGCCACCTCTTTTAATATCCACTGTCTAACCATAAGCAACTAATTATTTTTTAATTACACAAGACTACTACATTTTGATCCTTTAAGGGATATAATTTTACGCAAATTACCACAAAATATCCCCAAAATAAGATTCTAAAGGCACAATGCAAGAGATGCTGAGTTATCAACTGTTGCAAATAGTGTGCATTAATGGAGTAACTTGAAAATCTAATTTGTAAACCTGCCCAAAAATCAATTGTAGACCCATTGTTAATATGTATTAGTGTGATCTATATTCAATAGCTTTGTTTAACTGGTCTCTGATCTTTCACTATCTCCATCCTACCACCAGAAACTGCTACTACATTAAGAATCTTAGTAGCACAGAGCAGTTAAATACTGCAGCCGTATAGCCTCATTCTTAACCACTAGAGGCTGCAATTGCTTCACAATTAAGAGGCATGACTGCTGTTAGAAACTCAACTCCACAATTTAAGCAAAACAGATAGCTCTTTACTCACTTACATAATAAAGCTAAGAACAATAAAAGTGTCAGCTCTATGTTAACATTCTGGTTTCACTATATAAATATGCCATATTTAGCTATTGACCAACTTTTGCATTTGTATAAAAACAGTGTAATTGCATTTGAAAGTTATAAAAAATATATGATGAAGCTTTAAAATATAAATGCAAATGAAATCATACACAGTCACACAATCCAGATTTTTGACTATATATTCACGCTAATAGGAAATCAATCAACACTTGTTAATAAATATTGCCATATTCGTGAATCATTTCATCTATAAACTCACTCCCTCATTCAGGGACACCAATTGAAGAAACGAATGCCTTCATTGCATTCCAAAGACGAGTAAGGTGAGCACCCACTGGTCAAACTTAAGAAGCCCATGGCCATTATCCCTGTCCATGTAAGTGTGCAGTGGTGTAATTACATTGTAGCTCCAATTATAGAGGCAATAAGCTGCATATTTTAAGATAAATGGATTTCTGTCCAGAGTTAAGCAGCATGTTCCTTCTGCACATTACCTGCATAGAGTTTGCTATTTATTTTGCATATTATCATGTATAGCATGTAAAGAACAGAAAGTAGGTCAACTCAAGCTTGAAACGTCCCTTTATGTGTACTTGCATTGCACCGGGAACATAAAATTGCTTATGTGACTGAGAATGTAATAATGACAATTTAATTTACAGGCCAAATCAATGTTACATTCATATCAGCAGAAGAGTATAATAAGATAAGACAATATTATTATGAGGGTTTATATACTAAAGGGATAAGTTTCTTCTATAAAAGATTTTAGGGCAATTTGAGTAATTTTGGAACCTTTAAATCAAATTAGATTTTATTGTAATCATTCAAACTGAAGAAGTAAAAAAAAACAAAAAACTAATGTTTTCTGGAATGGATACCTAAATTCTCTCCAAATGCATGTAAAATATTTCCTGAATGCATGCTAAATTTGTTCTGAAATATATATCAATCCAATTTCAAGAAGATAATAATATTACATGGCATTCTGTCATAAATATAGGGCTGAAATATTACACTTGCCCACTAGCCATTTTTGAGTAAAAATCCAGCCCTGGCAACAGGCCCAAGTGGGCAAATAACTTTTATTATTTTGTTTACATTTAAAAAAAAAATGCACCCATGTGCTGCCCTACACAATACCTCCCAACACACTGCAACCCTCTCTCACAAACACACTGCACCCTATCATACACACTGCAACCGTCTTACACAAACACCGCACTCCTCACATACACACACATACATTGAGCTCCTCACACACACACACTGCACTCTTC